TTAAAAAAAAAAAGTACATACATTTCATGTATTATAAATCATTTCATGATTATGACTGTTCGAATGTTAACTTTTTAAACAAGAGGCCCAGGGGCCATATCGCTCACCTGAGCACATTGGTTAGGAAAAGGAAGAAAATTAATCAGTTTAGTATTGAAAAGTACAAATATGACAAATCACAGCTTTGCTATTCTCATGAAGATTTTAAAAGATTTCCACTGTGTACTCCCGTGTAAAACTCACTGTGGCCCCTCCTTACCCTCAGGGGTCATGATCTGAACAAACTTGAATTTACATGCCCATTCACGGCTTTGCCATTCGCTTGTATTAATCATAGGTAAAACTTTGATCGCTCATTGTGGCCCACCCTACCGCGGGGGTCATTATTTGAACAAACTCGAATCTACACTACCCGAAGATGCTTCCATATAAATATGACCAATCACAGCATTAAAATGCTGTTCTTGAGAAGAAGATTTTTAAAGGTTTTTCCTATGCATTCCGACATAAAACTTTGATAGCCAATTGGGGCCCCAACCTATCTTGGGGTTCATGAATTGAACAATCTTGAATCTACACTACTAGAGGATTCTTTCATATTACTATGACCAATCATTGAACATATTGAGAAGATTTTTAAAGATTTTTTTCTATACTTGTATACCTATGTTAAACTTTGATCCCCCATTGTGGCCCCACCCTATCCCCGGGGGTCATGATTTGAACAAACTTGAATCTACACTACCTGAAGATGCTTCCACATGCATTAGTTTCATATTTTCTGGCCAGTGGTTCTCGAGTAGAAGATTTTTTTTAAAAGATGCCATCAAGTTTTCACTTATTCACAATTATCTCCCCTTGGAAGAAGGCCAGCCCTTCATTTGTACAAAAATTTAATTTCGTGTGGAGGAATTTTTATTACATGGGAACGAAATTTATTTCGTGGAAGGAATTTTATTACATGGGAACGAAATTTATTTCGTGGAAGGAATTTTATTTCGTGGGATGGAGTTTTATTTCGTGGAACGTATTTTTATTTCGTGGGAACGAATTTGTTTTTTAAAAAAAAATCACCATAAGTCCTTATTTTCCTGTCTTATTACGGAAGTTCATTTGTAAGTGAGGATTTTTTTTTTCATTTCGTAAACTTTTAAAATGCTAAAATACCCAATCATATATTTATGAAGATACAATATCTTTATTTAAAGTTATTTCCTTTTTTCATATCTCCAATGAAATAGTGCATATTTGCAAAAACGGTGATCTACAAAAAAAAGAGGGATTGGGACGAATCCCCGCCCACTTTAAATTTACCATGTAACGAATGAATGCGAGTTTTAAAACAAAGAATTAAAAGAAGCTATATATTAATGTATGACCACTTATAATATTATCATGTCTAAAACCCAACAAATACAAGCAGTGGTGAATTACATAAATACTCATTCCTTGTTTAATTAATAAAACAGGTAATACGCTAATACAGTGATAGATCGCCGTCCTTGTCGTCAGAATATTGTCAGGAAAAAAAAACAAAAAGCTTTCGGTTTCACGCCACTGCCCACACAAGGTAAATAGGCCGTTAAACAGGTAAGGCGTTTTCTTGAAAAAGATTATTTTTACTTGTTAAAGTTCTTTGTTCTGTTAATTAAATGATAAATATTATGATTACAAGTTATCATTTGATGATTTATTGTGAGGTGATACTGGATTTTAAACTGGATCCCCTTTCGTTAAATTTCATAAACAATATAATTTTCGAAAAGTTTTACAGTTTTGACCCATACCTGCAAGAGAAATTTTTTTTTTTCATACGGTGGATCACTAGTGCAAAATGTTTATATGTTTAGAATCATTTTTACAAAAAAAAAAAAAAAATGGAAACTGGAAACTGGGTTCAACATGTCGATAAATAGCACCATGCAGGCCCGTAGGGATGATCAAGATTTTTTTCTTAGTATAGAATTACGGTGGTTTATGATAATGTAACGTGTGAAGATTAAAATATTAAAGAATATATCATTGTAAGATGGACATCCAAGAGGTAGCCGCTGCCCCCCCCCCCTCCCCAATAATTTATGAACTTGACTTTTGACTGTTGATCCCTAATTCAATATAGGGGTCTCCTGTAGGAAATTGTGGTATAAAATTAATCTTGGCTTGCAAAAGATTAAACTTAAGCCTTTTAAAATTTCGTGAGGAAACGAAAGTGTTAAAACAGACAGAAAGACAGCTATGACTGACGGACGGACAGACAAACCAAAATTAATATCCCCCACATTCAGTGAAAGCGGGGACAAAAGAGGACCGGTGTTGTAGAGTAGGATTTCCCCCATAGCCAGCTTTCCCCCCGGAAATCGTACTCTAGAGTAGGATTTCCCCCCGAGGGGAAATCTCAGACCAGAGCCAAATTTCCCCCTCTTTCTTTCTCAGAGTAGGATTTCCCTCCTTGTTACAGAGTCAATATTAACCACAGCCGCAGTAATTTTGCGAAAAAAAAGAGAAACGAAAAACTGGTTTTTAAAAGGTAAATGAGTGTTTTTAAGGTATGTTGTGAGAATTTTCTAAGCATAAATTTCAAATCATGGAATCTCAACCAAAATATATAGCTTTCACAAAAAAAAAATAAATATTCTTAAAATATGATGAAACAAACAAAAGACGGATGTTTGGGTTGGTATATATTTTGGACCTATTTTAGTTGTAAATGATTGCAATAATAAACTTTCTAAAATATTCAGAAATTGTAAACTTACTGTTATGTTTAAATTTCCACCTTTCTGTAACCGTCCTAATTATTAAACTAGATACAATTTTTGTCATATTAATTCTCCTAAAATCCCATTTTTCATCAATTTATTTGATTTTTAAAAAATGGCATGAAGGAAGCCAATAAAAATCGGATTCAAAATTTTCATGTATACGTATGTTGAATACATCTGGTCACCATTTTGAAGAAGGGATACATTCAGCAGTGTGCCAACCATTCCTCCTCAAAAAAATAAGTAGCGCAATTTCATTGAGGGGAAAATTGGCTCTGGGGGAAATCGCACTCTATAACTTCAACACAGAGTAGGATTTCCCCCCGGAAAATTGACTCTAGTGTGGGATTTTCTTGGGGGAAATCCTACTCTAGAGCCAGTTTTCCTGGGGGGGAAATCCTACATTAGAGCCAGTTTTCCGGGGGAAATTCTACTCTAGAGCCAGGGGGGGGGGGATTTTAGGGGGGAAAGCCTACTGTACAAGACCGGTACACTAGCTGTCCAAACTCAAAAGTTCTATTTCGGGGGTTTGAGGGTTGGACTTTTCCCTGACTTTTTGGTGCATTTATTTTTTTTCAAATCCGAGGGGTCGAACTACTGAGCATAAATATAAATTAATAATGATGCATTTTTAATATCTAATATAATGTAATTAAATTTTTCGTTTTTACAGAATTTTCAATATGGCCGACGAACATTTATACATGCCGACGACTTCCGAAATAACCATTCCGGAATCCAGCATAGAACCCGAATATGAAAGCATTGGGAGTGACACGGCTCATGCTTCAACTTCCCAGTCCAGCAAATATAAAAATAAAGGGAAAGACCAGTTAACATTACATATCCATAATCCAGAAACCAAACAAAGCGAAGTCTCAAGTCCGCTGTCCGATTTCTCCGCTTATCATAATCCATACGCGGAGGAAGCAATCCATTCTCCAGGGGCCATCTCCAAACTGTCCTACACCGGATCCATGAAATCAAAACACACTCACACAACGAGGCAATTAAATGTTTTCATCGGTGAAGAACTCGAGGAAAACTTTCAAAGTACGGGGTTTCCTACCGAGAGGAAAGCTTATAGTTGTCCAGCAACGCCTAGAGCTGTGAAAAGAACAGCTCCCTTGTCTAGGGAACCAATGGAAGCTCCGCATTTAGGCGCTGAGAGGTCTCACTATGAACATGAACCAGTTGACTTTTTTATTTATAACTTACCAGAGGAAGAACATTCAGTTTACAACGAGTTCCTGGTGAAATCTAATCCTCACAACAAAATCAACCACATGATACACAGCGCCTTGCACTGTCCCTGCTTCTTCTTTTTCTTCTTGCTCTGCTGCATGCCTGGTTTTCATTGGATGCAGCTCGGGGATAAAGCTTACAAGAATGGTGATGTTGATGAAGCAAAATTCCTTGGAAGGAGAGCCACCGTATCCTATTTTATTGGAGCGGTGCTGGGTGTTCTTGTCTTGGCAGGGGTCATCATGATTTCTGTGTATTTTGTTCAGGACCAACTTGATCAATAAAATCTACTAAATATAAAGTGAATGTAATGATTAATCACTTATCAATACAATACGATTACGTATCAGGGTTGGATGGGAGGGGACTGTCCTCTTTAATTCATTAAAACCTCTCTTTATACTGCTAAAATGTTCAAAATGAATGAACGCCTTCTCCCAAGTTTTTTGCTGCAGTATACCCCCCCCCCCCCAGTAATTAAAGCGTTCTATTGTAATGTATTGGAAAAGTTAGAACATACCCAGCCCTTTAAGCCGTCTTCCACGAACTAGGATTTTCGAGTTTTGGAAACTCTTCCACTTCCTTTTTTTTCTTGTCCCCGGTTTTGAAAAAAAAGATACGCGGAGACATCTGTCCAAAAAAAAAAAAAACAAAACCCTTGGTCATAACTTTTGAATAAGAACTATCATATTTCACATGTGTATGTTTTACCTGTGAAAAGACCTCTCCAAATATACCGACTTTTAACTTGTGACCCTGAACTTGAAGTTTTGCTTACTTTTTCAAAAAATTAACGTTTAATACTTTAACCTTTTTGAATTCGAATAAGAGGAGCTGGGCTTCCATATATCACTTGATCATTATACCTCATTACCTGTGACAAGACCTTTCCAAATATATTCGGATTTTAGACCCCATGACCTTGAATGACTAATTTTTTTTTACCACATGACCTTGTAAGTTGACCTTATCTTCAAAAAAAAAAATAAATTGATTATAAATTTCGAATTAAAAGGGAAAGGGCATTGGGCATTTATTGTTGACACGTGGAGCAATGTAAAGCACTTTAGCAGGTATCTGTAGCTTTTACAGAATCTACCAAAAACTCTTTTATATTCAGAATATATAGAGGTATTCTTCATCGTAAGTGATTCACGGAAGAAGAACTGTGAACAATCAAACCATAAAATTTAAAGAATTGTGGTTCCCTACTTTCAGTGTCTTAAATGTAGTTGTTGGGATGCATTTATTATAATCCCCGCTTGAAAAGCGGGAGGGTATATATAGTATTGAATCGGTATATGTCCGTCCGTCCGTCTGTTACGCTTTGGGGTACCCATCTCTTATCCGCAATTCCTCTCGTACCACTGAATGAAATTTGATGAAACTTTCACATAATCTTATCACATACTGCCATTGTGCACCTCTTATTTTACTTTTTGATCCGACACATATTTTGGATTTCCCATAGCAGGACATGGGCACTGCCATTATACATTTATTCAAATGGCAAATGGGAGGCGGGGGTATCATTTAGTGAGATCGAGCTCATTGCTCAGCTAGTACCTCTAGTTTTTAAAAGCAAGGGTTGTCACCAGATTTTCTGCAAAGGGTAGGAGAAAGTTTGGGAAGGGACCCTTTCCTCCGAACTTTTTTTTCGTTTGTAAATGGGTAAATAGTCTCCTAATAATTCTTCAAGTCATTTTACAACATTCAATGGACATGTATCTTATAAAATAAACAAACTCAAGCAATTAATGAAACAGATTTAAATTTTCAAGTGTATTTTAAACAAGAGGCCCAGGGGCCACCCCCTCTTTTCTGAGAACTTGAATGCGAATACATTTGTTATGGATATATTTAAATATATATATATATATATATATATATATATATATATATATATATATATATATATATATATATATATATATATATATATATATATATATATATATATATATATATATATATATATATATATATATATATATATATATACATGTATGTATATTATTTAAATGCAATTGAGAAGGAATTGTAAACTTTTTTAGGAAGGAACTCAAAGGTGCTTGAGAACAGGGTCGTCCTTCCCCGGATTATAGGAACAGCCTAGACTTTTTCTTATACATTTTCTTTAAAAGATCTAATTGTGGCTTTGATACGATTAATTCGGAAAAAATAATTTTTAAAACATTTTATTAAAAAAAAAACAGTCAGAGGCACTTGTCTCTGTAATAAATTTCTAAAAAAAAAAATGACTGTAGGTTCCACATGATAGGTTTTATCTTTCCTGTCCTAATGATTACTATAAGAAGATTTGCAATAATTTCCATATATATTCAATTTTTTAAAAATTTAATATTTTCCCCGGGGGTCATGATTTGAACAAACTTGAATCTACACTACCTGAGCATGCTTCCTTATAAATATGATGAATGATGGCTTTGTCATTCTTGAGAAGAAGATTTTTAAAGAATTTTCCTATATGGTTCTATGTAAAACTTTGGTCGGCCATTTTGACCACGCCCTACCCCCGGGGGTCATGATTTGAACAAACTTGAATCTACACTACCTGAGCATGATTCCATATAAATATGATGAATTATGGCTTTGTCATTCTGGAGAAGAAGATTTTAAAAGATTTTTCCTATATATTCCTATGTAAAACTTTGATCGGCCATTTTGGCCCCTACCTTCCCCCGGGGGTCATGATTTAAAAAATTTAAATCTACACTACCTGAGGATGATTTCATATAAATATGATGAATTATGGCTTTGTCATTCTTGGGAAGAAGATTTTTAAAGAATTTTCCATATATATCTCTATGTAAAACTTTGATCGACCATTTTGGCCCCACCCTACCCCCGGCCGGGGTCATGATTTGAACAAATTTGAATTTACACTACCTGAGCATGATTCCACATAAATTTCATGAATTATGGCTTTGTCATTCTTGAGAAGAAGATTTTTAAAGAATTTTCCTATATATTTCTATGTAAAACTTTGGTCGGCCATTTTGGCCCCCCCTACCCCCGGGGTCATGATTTGAACAATTTAGAATCTACACTACCCCAGGATGCTTCCACATAAGTTTCAGCTTTTCTGGCCCAGTGGTTCTTGAGAAGAAGATTTTAAAAGATTTTTCCTATATATTCCATTAAAATTCCCATTTTGGCCCCTTGGATTCCCCCGGCGGGTCATGATTTAAAAAAATTAAATCCCCTTACCCATGAAGATATTTCACATGAGTTTTATCTTTCCTGTCTCAATGAATCTTGAGAAGAAGATTTTTAAAGATTTTCCAGGTATATATACCTATGCAAAAATTTGATCGAAAAGCCATTTTGGCTTTCAGCTAACCCCGGTGGGCATGAAAAGCAAATTTGAATCTACACTAAATGAGGAATGCATTCCACATGAGTTTCATCTTTCTGGCTCAGTGGTTCTTACCGGAAATTAAAGATTTTTCCTATATATTCCATGTAAAAATTTGATCGGCCATTATGGCCCCACCCTACCCCCGGGGGAGGATGATTTGAACAAACTTGAATCTACACTACCTGAGGAAGATTCCAAATATCAAATGTTTTACTGGAACAAATATAACTAGTGCTAATTGTAACGGGGACCGTTACAGATGTTCCCCAAACGCTCCCCAACTCCCTTTTGGTGCCATATTCCCTATAAGCTTCATTAAATAAGACAAACTCGTTGCATTTGATACTTTAATTGACAATGATTCCACATGAATTTCATTCAAATTTTCCTTGCCCAGTGCGCATGTGAATGATTTTTTTAAAATGCCATATAATTTTTCTCTACAATCATAATTAATATACTAAAATCAAAGTATTTAATCCAAAAGTTTAAGAAATCCCCTTATTCAAGATACTTTGTAGTTTTTGATTTTCCAGTGGTTCTTGAGAAGAAGATGAAAATGTGAAAAGTTTACAACAACGACTACGACGACAGATCCCACAAATTTTGGTTAAAAACCAAGGGAGTTATAGCTGTTCAAAGTTTCAGCCAATCAACCCCTCACCCACACGCACATGTATGCACTTGAATGCGAATACATTTGTTATGGATATGTTTAAATATATATATATATATATATATATATATATATATACATGTATGTATATTATTTAAATGCAATTGAGATAGGAATTGTAGCTGTTTAAAGGAAGCCAATCAAAGGTGCAGCGCACGTACACGCACGTGTATTATAGGCCCGGGCCTATTCGACTTTTTCTTATACATTTTCTTTAAAAGATCTAATTGTGATCTAATTCATACGATTAATTCGGAAAAAATAATTTTTAAAACATTTTATTAAAAAAAAAACAGTCAGAGGCACTTGTCTCTGTAATAAATTTCTAAAAAAAAAATGACTGTAGGTTTAATCATGATAGGCCTATAGTTAGCTGTGAATTTACTATACTAGTTGCAATAATGTCCATATCCCTCTTCAATTTTTTAAAAATTCTAATAGCGAAGCGCACTTGCAAAAAAACAAATTAATTAATAACTCATATATAAAAAGTTTTGATGCAGCATATGAAACAATGTATCCTTACATTATGTATATCAAAAAATTTCATCAAAAAAGAAAAAAATAAAAAGCTATTATATGTCATTTACGTGTTAAAAATGCGCGTAGAATGCATAACAAGTCCTTCTACATACAGGCTACCGGTAATTCAACTTTTTGCATAGCATGCAAAGCAAATAAGATATTTTTTAAGGGACGTGGGGGGGGGGGGAGGAGGAGGATTACATGTATCAGCTATCTTCTGATGAAGATTCAAATATCAAATGTTTTACTGGAACAAATATAATTACAGTAAATTAAAATGAATGAGAGAAAACCTATTCAAGGTTAGGGAATGGGAAGTAACCTGAAATAACAGCATGAATACTTTTACAGATTTATTATTCTCTCCCCCTTTCCTGCTTCAAGCAGATTTTATTTGATATTCACAACACATACTTGTTTCTGAGAAATTTTATTAAAACCTTCATTGAGTTTTATAATCATACAATGTATCTGTAGCATATACAAATATGCATGACATCATTTTCACTTGTACATCTTCTATTACATCCTATTTAATTCCATTTCCCAGACATAACCAATCCTTTACATTTATACCCTGTACATCACTCATTTCTGCATTTACATTTACATATTTCATACATACATTTTATAATATACATGTACTTCTGGAAGTGAATGTAAAATTCTATTAAATCAAGCATGTAATGATTAAATGAATAATGCATTACAAAAAACACCTTTTTGAAACTGTTACAAAAATTTTTTGTACATATTTCTGAAAACTTACATATGAAAAGTTTGATTTTATTGTTCTCTTAAAATATTTACATGCATATCTCAGAATAAAATGAAACTGCCCTGCTTGTAAGATTAGCTTTCCTCCAGTCAATAAGATTCAAAAGTAAAAAAAATTTTCAGGCATACAAATTGAAACTAAATCCTCCAACTTAGGTAGCTGGCAAAAGAAAACTTGATGAAATTTCTCTCAACTATTTTTTTTTTTACACAATCATAAATACACAGCTTCATCTGATATACATCTACTAGTATGATCATGGATCATACATATTTTATGGGGGGAAAAAAATCTTATGACTAGTTAGTATCGAGAGACCTTACAAAACATTCCACACATGCACACATTTAATTTTTTTATTTGATATCGTGGAGACAAATGTTGAAAATAATAGGATCAATACATGATATTTTTTATAGTTTAAGGGACAAGAACTCTTAATCTATGCTCTTAATATAAATACTAAAAAAAACAAAACATGTGGAATCCAGGACATACCAATTATTCTCATTAAGCAGTTTTTATATACTTTTCACTAAGTTAAATACTAAAATTATGAAAGGCTACAATATAGCACTTGGACATCAGCATCGGAAGGGTTTTTAATACAAAAAAGAAGAAGAAGAATAAACATGGTTAACACTGCTACAGCACAGCACACAAGCATGTCATATAAAATCTCATATCTCAGACATATCTCATAAAAATCTCAGTCCAAGACCGAAAACACAAACGCTATTTATAAATCTACATACACACACACAGTTAGAATGTCTGCTCTTGTTGTCCTACAAATTCCCTGTAATCTTGTACAGCAGCAGTAATGAGAGACACATAGAATGGATACATTTTACTACTTTTGGTCCAGCAAAAGTAACATAAGAAAATCTCGGTAATACATGATTCTCACTGGATTTGACTCAAACTTAATGGAAATTTCCAGTCTCCTCTCGCGCGGAGGAAAATGGCCGTCCCCTTAAACGGAGACTCACATCTCCACTGTGGAGCATAAGATCTGTTGTATTGATTCCTATTGGTGGATTGTGCTAGTGCGTGGACCTGACGTCATCCGTCTAGAGGCGGACCTAAGTACACCATTGAGATCTCGGTATTGCCATACACTGCTGATACGGAAGGATACAGGGGCGTGTCTGGTAACCCACGGAAAGCCACACCTTAACAAAATAAAGTATAGTCAATAAAATGTTAATATCAATCTGTAAAAATTAATAGAAGGAAAAAGTTTTGTTTTTAAATCAACATGAAAACTGACATCTAAAGATCCATTTGTGCTATTATTTCAACTGAATCTCTTTATTCAAGTTTATTGTGATGTAAAACTTCTATTTTAAGCAATCACAGTAACTAATTACAAGGTTTGTCAAAAAATAAGAAGAGAAATTAAGTTTTATAGCGCAACCTACTACATTGTACGACATCATCATTATATATAGGTTGTGTCTTTAACTCAACACTGACTCATTAGATATCAGTAAAAGATGACAACATCCATGTGTATTTTGTACTGAACCTTATTCTGCATAAAAAAAATTATTCAAACAAAAACTATAGAAAAAAATAAAATTTCCAAAGAGTTCCAAGGAACTATCCATTTTTAGTAACCATCATGGAAATCAGCAACTATAAAACAGTCAGAAATAAGAAAAGATAGACAGATGGATGATGGACAATGCATATATATATATATATATATATATATATATATATATATATATATATATATATATATATATATATGCTCTTCTTTTCGAGCTAAATTTTTAACTAATTGGATTAGCATAAAAAATATTAATCTGTGAGTAAGGCAAAATAAGCGATTTTGTAATAAACACACTTCTTTCTTCTGTAAGTTTTAAATCACTTGAAATTTTAGACTTACCTAAAAATTCATAGTTCTTTTCAAATGCTAACGTATTGTCTTCACAGTCAAGTATCACTCGAATTCTCTCCCCCACCTAAAAGAAATAAAACATGTAATATAGCTATGTCTATGATTATTCTTACTACTCTGTAAAGAATATAATCATTATGGACAAGGTTACACATTGAGGTATTAATCACAAAAAAAAATAATGATAAGCTCCCCCCAAATAGCAAGTGCAGCAAGCGGCGCAAAACACCTTTGCACAGCTCATCACTGTGAGCTCTTAAAGCAACACCTGGGCGAAAAGAAAATTCAGACTTTTCACATTGATCAAAACAATTTTTTCTGCAGTTCCTCTGGACCCACAATGCATCGCTTGTTCAAGCAACGTTCTCGCAATATAGTATGTTCAACAAAAAGTTAACTAGCCTTGATTATTGTATAAATTTTGAAGATAAGCCGTAAACAATACATTCTTCAATAACTTTCAGCACTTTAGATACGTCATGTGACGTCAGAGTCTAGACACACCAAACAGGTCCAGTACAATCTCTTGATTTAGCTATATAGCTTTAGATAGCTATATAGCTTTATTAAACTATTCAAAATAGCTTTATTTAGCTATTTATATACAGTTTTTCACAAAAATCTTTTTTGCTGAAAATAAACAAAAAGTCGCATGTATTTGACTCTTCATACATGTACTATGGACTATTAAAACAACAACCAAAATCAAAGATAGTTCTAACTTTGCAGCTTTTGAATACTTTTAAGCAAAAAAAGAACTTCTATTGTTAGACTAACTGTCCACTACCTTGGGTGCCTTGAGGCAAGGAAAAGTATGATTGCTTCTCATTGTGCTGAACTGTTACCAATCAATTATCTTGTTGAACATAATTGGTCTCCATTATAATATCATTGCAGAAGTAACTGTATCAATTGCTTTATATAGCCCAAAAACTTGTAAAACTTTGAGTACAAAGTCTCACAAGGAGACTTAATTTGATGAGTGATTTTTACATGCATTATTTTAAGAAGAGTTCAAAGTTGTATATCATCACTGCACCAAGGTGCGCTTTTTTGTACATACTGAGAAAATTACACCTTTAAGAAAAAAGTGTAGTAAAATAGCTAAATTAAGCTATACTGAATAGCTTATTAAAGCTATATAGCTATCTAAAGCTATATAGCTAAATCAAGAGATTGCACTGGACCTGCCAAATGTCACATGCCGTTAGACAGGCCTGATCTAAATTAAAACAATAGAAGTATCTGCACTTTCCCTAATGGTCACACCGTCAACATATTGTTTCATAAAAAAACTTATTTCATATAAGACCAGAAAACTTTAAAGGAACACATCTCATCACCTGATATTTAGGTGCATTGTTTACTGTAGGATAATTTCCTTGACTGTCTCCATTGTGTAGAAGATAGTTATCCACTAAATTCCAACCCCACGTTTGGTCATTTGCACCTAGTAATCCTACATATCCATGACACTGCATAGGAGCATATTTGGTAGCCAGTCCAATCATAGCGACAGTCCCTAATGGTCCCTCCCACCACACCTCCCAACAGTGGCGGCCTGACCGGAAACCAATTTTACCCCGTGCACCGTCTGTACTTTGTGCGATAGGGTTCCGATGCACCGAGAACCCTTTGGATTTAACGTACATGTTCTTTGAACAATCATTTGGATTCCATGCATGATAAAATGCGCGTAATTTCGCTTTGTATGTAGGAACATTTTTTAACAAGTCAGATTTTAAAGCCTCCTCCGCCAGTTTCCTGACACAGTGAAATCTCCACACATCATTATTTTCGTCGTTCAAAAATTTATACCAATCTTTACAAACTAATGAGCAATTCCTTAGATCAGATATACTTAAATATGAAAATATTATTTCCAAAATCTCTGGGTTTAACTTCGCGGCAGCCATACTCGTTTGTGACAGGTCACCCTCGTGAGTTTTCGCGAGACGTTGGCTGCATAAATTTATTCTGTATTTCGAACCCGATTAAAAAATGAAAATAATTTTATCGATATTTATCACAAATTAAAAATACTCTTTAAATATATAATCGACTTAAATGTTTTGAAAGCTACTGAGATGTTTGTTTTTAATGTTACTCATGCAAACTAAGTCATTAATGAAAAAAATAAATATTGATCGGGCACTACATTCTAAGATTATAAACAAACATGGCTGCGCCCTTGAACGAGAAACTCGGAAAGAACATTCAACAATCATGAGGCAAGAAAAGATTAGAGAACAGCTTATTTTCTTCGAAACCTGTTTAATAATTCGGAAAAAGAATAAGTAAAACCAAAGATAAGAGACGTTGTCGTAAGAACTAACAAAGATTTAGAATATCATGTTGCATAAATGCCATAGCATGGGGATGAACACGACTCTTAAATATGCATAAGCCATTTTAATCCATGATATCAGTATGGGGTATACTCTACGTGTTCGTTACACCTGACTGCTTTATCGTCATGGGTATCGGCATAAAATGGCGTATCCTAGCTGGTCATTTTGCATTCTCTGTAGCATGTAGAAAATGTTTGGTTTGACCCCAGCATCACTAGTCAGATGCCCTACCGACTTAGCTACCCAGGCTGATATCCACGGCGCAAACCAATGCATTCCTACCTCCTTAAATGGTATCTGCCATTGAAGACATAACCCAAGTTCTTATTGGCCCCTGGCAGGACTTTCACCAGATAGAATGTTCCATCATTAAAATGAGATGCGAGTATATGGGAGGCATTCATACTGTGCTAAGGACTAAATATCCCAATACACAGTTAGATTATTCTATCTAGATTTTCACCTGCAATTCTAGGGGTGGTCTATAGCATGAAATCTTTTTCAGGAAAGAAGAAAAAGTGTGGCTGAACGGGATATTGAACCTGTGACCCCTGCATCACTAGTCAGGTACTCAGCCGAGAGAGCTATCCAGGCCAATATCCACAGCCCAAACCATTACACATAATTCTGTCTTCATCAGTGATGACATCATATTGATTGTGTAATTGATTACACTGAACAGAGACTAAGTGGCTCTCAGTAATAGTGAGAGACTCGACCAATCAAATATGGAGGCCAATTAAAGATGGCAGACAAATTCCTTTTACAAAATGTGTTCAGTTTTAAAACAGGTCCAGTCCAATCTCTTGAATTAGTTATACAGCTTGAAATAGCCAGATAGCTTTATAAAAAAAAAAAGATGACAAAAATAGCTAAATCAACATACATGTGACAGAACTGAAAAATTTAAATTTAATGAATAATTTGTTTTAAATAATTACAGGAAAAAATGAGGCTTCTGCACAAAAGATCTTTGGCTTTGTTGAGGGCCTCTGGAGGTGCCAGAAAATATGTCTCCACTCTGTCCCCTTTGGGATCTGTGTTCAACTCCATTCCAACACCCAAAAAGTCAGAGTGGTTCTTTAGTAACAGAGAAAATAAGGTACACATATCTAGATCTAACATTTATTTAATTAACAATCTTCACTTGATCCTTAAAAAGTACTCAGACAGTTTTTTAACATGGTTTTTGAGATTCTGTATCATTATACAGGGGCTGCTACTGATACCTGAGCTGAAATCCTTCCAGGGATTTGACATTCTCCGCCATGAAGTGGAGTATAAAGTGGAGACACTGGTGGAAGAGGCCCTTTCTCCACGACGGAAACGGAAAATTGTCACCATATTTGATGAGATATCCAACAGTCTCTGTTGTGTGGCAGACCTGGTAAAATTAAATTGTCCCCCTTATTTAAATTTAATTTTATTCAGATTTTTTTGGGGGCTTCAATTTTCAGTAGCAGAACAGAGAAAACTTTGAAAAATGTTAAAATCCTTAGTCCTTTTTTTGTTTGAAGAATTTGAAATTTTATTTTTAAAAAAGTGGATCTTGCATGTTCATGTCTTCTTGTACATTGTACTTGTTTGTAATAATAATAATAATAATAATAATAATACTTTATTTAAAGAGGGTGACCCGATTAGTGCAATGCACTAGTCTTCCTCGGGGCACTCTAAACACATTCACAATAATACAATTATAAAAACATTGTACAATATTATAATTGATAATACAACATGATGTGAAAATACAAGGACATGTACATATCGATTCAAGAACATGGAATTATATAACATTTAGTTGCGACATGTTATAATGAATTTTTCTACATTTTTACGAAAAGTTTGTACAGTTGGTGAAAAACGGATATGCAAGGGTAATTTGTTCCATAAATGAACACCGGAATAATGAAAAGAATTCTTAAATTTATTTGTTCGATATTTCGGTAGATGAAGGTCATAGTTTGTTTCAGATCTAAGAACATAACTATTAGAAGAAATGAATTCAAAGGAATCTCTTAAATAAGTTGGTGCCATACCATGAAGTGTTTTGTACAGCAATATATATTTATGAAAATCAATTAACTCATATATGGTCAGCCATCCAAGTTTTTCAAATAATGGTAGTGAAGGGGCATCATAAGCCACATCTAAAATAATCCGGGCTGCCCTTTTTTGCAATTTAAAAACTCTATCTATGCCAGCATCTGGCGCATTACCCCAAATAGTAAGACAATAATTCAAAGAAGGCAGAATGTATGCATTATAAAATAGTTTTCTCGTGGGTAAGGGAAGAAATTTTTTAATTCTGCGTAAAGTATATAATTTATAAGTCAAAGATTTACAAACCGAGTCAATGTGATAATTATAGCGCAATGAATGGTCAATATGTACTCCCAAAAGCTTTTCGGATTCAACATTTTCAATTAATTTGTTTGAAGCATATAAATTTAGTTCAGTAGAATTTATTCTTGATTTTCTTTGTTGAGTTCCCATGAGCATACATTTTGTCTTGTTGCTATTTAACACCATTTGATTTTTGGAACACCAATTTTCTATCTTACACAAATCAAAGTTTAGGGCATTCTCAATACCTTCTATATTTTTATGATATGTATGTAAGGTTGCATCATCAGCAAACATATCAATATCTGTTCTATTTACATGTTAAGGGAGATCATTTATATACAATAAAAATAATAGGGGACCTAAGATAGATCCTTGGGGCACTCCTGCTGTGACGGGCAAAAAATTTGAGGAGTATGTACCTATTTTTACACACTGAGATCTTGATGTTAAATAAGATTGAAACCATTTAATAGCCATTTGGTCAAAGTGATATGATTGAAGTTTATTTATAAGGATATCATGATTAACCAAATCAAATGCCTTGCTAAAATCGATGAAAGTTATGCCTACTAGATTTCCTTGGTCCATAGCTTGTAGCCAATTATCTGTAAGTTTTGTTAGAGCCATTTGACATGAGTGAAATTCTCGAAATCCAGATTGTGATTTAAATAAGAGATCAAAGCTAGAGGTAAAGTTACGTATCTGATTGGCTATGTGTTTTTCAACTAATTTTGATAATGTTGGAAGAATGGATATCGGTCTGTAGTTCCCTGGATCTGCATGGTCGCCATTTTTGAAAATAGGAGTGACTTTTGCTTGTTTTAAACGGGATGGAAATACTCCATTAGTAATGCTAGTATTGATAAGATGTGTAATAGATTTGCATATAACATTTGCCGAAAGCTTTAGAAGACGAGGCCCAATCAAGTCTATACCTGCTGACTTGTTTACATCAAGTGTATTCAACATATTTAATACTTCGATCTCACTTATATGATTTATACTGAAAAAATTTTCTTTCCCTAGTTTAGTTTCTGTAAATTTATTTAATAATTCTGAATCAAAACTTTGTACTGACATATCTGCTAATAATTTACAGGATATTTCAGTAAAGTGTTTGTTAAAAATATCAACAATATCCTGTAAGTCTTCGAAATCCGAACCATTTTGTGTTATACGGGTAGGTGTGAAATTTTTTGAATCAGATGCCAAATGGTTTAAATAACTCCACATTTCTTTAGGACTTGAACTTTCTTCAATTGCTGATTTGTAATACTTTGATTTTGCTTGATCTATTAATTGTGTGACTTTATTTCTCCAAAATTTGTAATTTTCTGAATTTCTTTGTAGATGGTATGTATCACGTAAATGTCTAGCATCATTTATTTCCTGTGTAAGCCATTTAGGTCGAATTTCAGTCTTGACTCTTTTATTTTTTACTTTGGCATGCTTGTTAAGAATATCATTAAATAATTCATAAAATTTATTCATGATCTCGTTAGTGTCTTTTAGTTCGAGAAGAGAGTTAAAATTAGCATTCTCTAAATCTCTTAAAAACTCATTTTCATTGAATTGTTTAAAATCTCTATATTGGATTTCAGTATGTTTTCCTCTACGCTGTATACAGTTAGTTTTCCGTGTCAAACATACGGGGTAGTGGTCAGATATAGCAATAGGGGGCACATTTGTTTCGCATATGTTTTCTGGTTTTGTTGTATAAAAATGATCAATTAAGGTACTTGATGTACTTGTTATTCTAGTAGGAACAGTAACTATTTGTGAAAGTCCAAACTCCTCTAAAGCAGATGTCCAGTATTGTGGGGGGTCTGTCATTAAATCAATATTGAAATCACCTGATAAAATTACACATACTACACAGACTCCTCTGTTTAATGGTCAGTTTTTTGTTTTCTTTTTTACAGGCAGAATTTGTCCGAGTATCCCATCCTAATCGTGATTATCAGCTGGCAGCAGAGTATGCTGTTGTTAACTTGTCCAATGTTGTAGAGAGGTGAATAACAGTTCTTATTTGAAAATTTAATTTAATTTTCAAAGTTAAACTAAGTAAACACCATGCCTAAAAGAACTGTGAATAAAACTTGTTATGGATTTTAATGGTAAATAGGATTTGCCTTTACATAGAAGATTTTTTTCTGTAGTTTGAACACCAACACAGCAATATACAATGTTCTGAAAGAGGCCCTAGAAAAGGGAGAGGATGTGTTACCTATGGATGCTGTAGATAAACGTGTGGGGGAGCTGTTTAAGTTTGACTTTGACTTGAGTGGCTGCCATCTCTCAGAGGACAAGGTAACTGTAGGATTAAAGTCATTATTTTAAATTGAAGTTGGTTTTTGTTTTACATTGCTGGTAATAAATTGTAGGATATGTATCTGTATGTATTTTATGACAACAAAACATTACTTTATATGTTTAAAGATAACAAAAATGTATGTAGGAAGTAATTAACAATATTTAATTCCAATTGGTGTGTGCTATGCCAAACTTTGATGCATGTGTTACAATGGAAATAATCTGTGTCTGTATTTAATCAAATTTAACTTTTTATTGTGTCAATTGTCTATGCAAAGGAGTATCTAAAATTAAATTTTTTTGTAATTTTTGTTTGAACAGAAGAACATATATTTGAAGTTGTCAGAGAATGTGATTATGACTGGTAATATGTTTATGGAAGGATGTCAGTCTTCAGCCATAATTCCCAAAGACAGACTACCAGAACACCTCCAATACTGGCAAGTACTTAGGGGCATAATGAATGACACCTGCTCTGTTCAGTCTTTCTGAGTAAATCAATATTTATTGGGTTTTGATATTAACAAAATATACTGGCTCTATTTCAAACATCAGAAAACGCACCCACAAGCCGTCATATCTCAGTATAATGCCTGTTTTTATGGCGTCGAGCTTTAGCTCGGCACTCATCTAGCTATGAGAAAATTTCTGACTGCTCATGGCTTTCTTCATGCACCAAATAATATAGTACTCTAACCCAAGACCTTCATGTATCTGGCGTAGGAATATACATGCCAATTTTTGCGTTTATTTCATAAATTGCTTGAAATCATACAATTTCAACAGTCCTATAAATAGTTGCCAACTCACCCGCTTTCCTTGGGTTACTTTTCGACCCGTAACCTGATTATTTTTTATGACACGGCGAGTCATGCTTATCGCCCGAATCTCAGATTTCCGGATTTGGTTCGTAAATTAGGTTGTACTTTTAACTTCCAGTTACAACCCAAGCTTGATCTACGTAAACATTATGCCGATGGCTATGTTCAGTGAGCCAGTAAATTATCTGTGCAGGTGTAAACAATTAACTGGGATTGTTTTGACAAATCAAAATTTAAAATGTCTTCCGATAGAACAAGATTGTTATCAGGACCAGCAGGAACAAATTGGAGAAAGAGAAACAATATTTATGTACATGTCAAGGAATCTTGGAAAACAACTTTCATTAAATAAAATAAAGTGATCAAAGACAGTGTAGGTCTTACTGTACATTTAGTACACATTGCACGAGTTAATTGAATTAATTAGGTCTAAGAAAGAGGAAAGTAATTTCAAATCCCCTTATTAAAATTGGAATTACTTTCAAATTTAGCACCAAGGACCTATATACACTATATGTACTAAAAATATATTGGTGTATACATGATATAGGTCCCTGTTAGCACAAACTGGAAAGGCTTTTTTTTAATGCACACTTAATTCAGATCAATGCTGGACAATGAAACCTCCAATGTTCTTTTTTAACATGTCAGACAATTTAATCAATAATTTTTTGTCATTGTAAGTTATTTCAGTAAAGCCTTTTTTTTAATAGAAGATTTATCAATACACAAATGACAAGATTTTTACATCTTGGGTGTTGGCAAGTACCGGGTATGGTCTATACTCTTTTACCGGGGTACTCTACACATAAAACCTGTTCTCAAGCCATTCAGTTGGACCATGAGTTGAATGCTTTTATTTCATAGATGATTAAATCGGGGTATTTTATCTAGATATACAACTAAGATATATAATTTTGTAGACATATGCATACTTTTCAACATGCTTCGAAATCCAGTAATTTCACAGTACCACTGCCATATCTAAAGCGCGGCGCCATTGTGGCCCTTCAGGCCTTTGATTCTCAGTTGCTTTCTCACTATTATACCTGTTATACATGTATACATGTACACACTATGTTACTGAATCTTGTGTTTTGATCATTGACAGTTTTAACTTGGAGGGGGATGATGCAGTAATTAGTGGGGCTCACTTAGACCACTGGAATGATCAGGTAAGTTCAGTCTGTAAAACAGAACTGAAGTTGTTCTATATAAGATTATTTATTTTATCTCCATTTTGATCTCCATTTAAGAGCACCTGCATGTTGAAAATCTAATATTGACTTATATACTGATGCTGCTGCTATTAATGTTATACATGTGGTACTTCTTAAAGTGAAAATATTTCCTCTGATTTAAGTTTTCATAATGAGATTATGATGATATAAGCATTTGGATAATCAAATGCATATCATATGGCCAACAATTTAGAAAGTCAAAAATAAATATACTAATAAAGTGAGACCTGATTAATCAGACATGCACTGGGAGACAAATTTTGAGTCGAAATAGGGTGTCAGATTACAAAGTGTAAAAAATATGGAAAATAGTAAGAAGGGGAAGAAAAAGAATGTCGGAATCCACAATTTGTCGGATTGCACAGGTTCTGTATTAGACAGTTTTCACTTTTCCAGCATACGTTTATCATGAGAATTTGCCTAAAAGAATTTAAAAATAATTTGAATGAAGGTCAGGACCTACCATAAAGTCCTAAAAGATAATGTTTCAAGTAAATTAATCTATTATACATGTACACTGTAAGCTTCTTATGTGTTTCTCTTTGGAAGTTGTGAGTAATGGAATAAATTACTACATATACTTCTCAATTAATCACATTTACCCTACTAAAATGACCTTGATATATCATCAAAAGAAGCCCCTAGTTACAATTTACAGTGGGACTTGACTTGGAACATTGTTTTTCAAACACGCATTATTTTCAATTAGGTACGAGAGGCGGCCTATAGAGTATACCACTATCCTAACGAGAGTCAAGTCAAACTCCTGGATGCTCTCATTTTAAATCGTCATAAGTTAGCCACCCTAGCTGGATTTCCAACATATGCTCATCGGGCGTTGAAGGGAACTCTAGCAGAAACACCAGGTATTTAGTTTCTAAAGAGCATTTACTGATGGGACAAAACTTGCATGGTTTATTTTTCACTACTTGTGAAATGATATATTATCTAAGTACTACTATTAAATATGTTTGAATTGAAAAAAAAAATTAAATTTATTTGTTCAATTATTTTGAATTTAAATGTGTGCATCTATACAAAATGATCTAAATTAGATGACTGCAGGTATAACTAGATCTGCGATACTAACTGATACTTTTGTATTGATGTACAATACTGCAATTTCCACTCGTATTGTAAATTGTTAACTACAAATGGTAAATTGTTAAATATTGAAGGAATACTTAGTTCAGTTGTACAGAAGTGAAAGAAAAATTACTTAAAATATAGTTAAATAGATACATGTAAAGTGAATAACTGAGCTAAATTTTTTTTTTTTTTAGAAATGGTGATGGATTTTCTAAATGCTCTGTCAGAAAGGATAAAACCATTGTAAGTACCTGTGTCCTTTTAACCACTATTACACTTAATTAAACAGTGGACAGAGATATTATGTGACATGTTAAGCACAAATGCACCCTACCATACAGACTCCAAAGTAGTGGCAATTTTATTTTTAAAAAAGCTATGAATTTTAATACATTTACACATGAATAAGTATGAATATGAAAAATGCCTTCATTATGTTAACAATTTATTCAAATCATGCCATATAAAAATCAAAAGCGGAACAGTGATTTGATACTACTTTCATGCCTGGTTTATTTTGCTTTCAGGGCAGACAGTGAATACAAAGAACTGCTGAAACTGAAGAAAGAGAGAGGATCAACCAGTGATGTGGTACGTAGAGAGGAATTCTAAAGCTCTTAGTAAGAGACGCCCACAATACAAACAGATCTGTCAATCTCAGACCATGATAAAGTTAGGAAAGCTGAGAGATTTAGTGACTCTAGATTTTCAATGTTGTGTATTTAATGAAACTGTTGCAGTAAATGCTCTTTTCTGATCTAAGTAATAGGATGATTGAAATTAGAGCCACCCAGTCTCTTGCATGTTTTTAAATATTGGCTGTGAACATAAATTGTGTTGTTAGTCCAGTGATTTGACTTATTTTGTAGGTTCTGAGACCTTGGGACACCCCCTACTACTCAGCACTTGGCAGACACCTCAAGTCAGTATATCAACTTATCTAGTTTAATACTACTAAAATACTTTGTCTATATGTATACAAAAACAATTTCTTAAGAGAGTATCTAAGCATATTTATTGATATAAAGTTATGTTATAGGTACGATATCAGCGGTGATGAGATCGCCCCCTATTTTTCCCTGGGTAACTGTATGGAGGGGATAAATATAGTCCTGAAGAGTTTGTATGACGTGTCTCTACAGACAGTAGAGCCGCAGTGTGGAGAACTCTGGTCTGATGATGTTTATAAGCTGGTGGGTAGTCTTCTTTGTTGTTCCCGTACTGTGGAATCATTTTAATTTGTGGAGGGTCAATGTTCAAGGGCACGCAAAATTTTATTGATCAGTGGTAGTGTAATTTCATGGGTGACACATTTATACAAAGACTCAATTAATATTTCTGTTGACAAAATAATTGTTCATGGGTGTGTGCATTCATGGGAAAGGGTGACCCACGAAATCCATGAACATTGGTTCCCTGTGAACAATGATGATTCCATAGTAATTCTGTTTAAAATTTTGAGTATTAAATTTACGTTTTGATGTTTTAAACACTTTCCATTCCAATACAACAGGCAGCGGTCCACAGCACAGAAGGAGTCCTGGGTTATATCTATTGTGACTTGTTTGAGAGACAGGGGAAACACATAATGGTGAGAACATTTGATAGCTTTAATACAATGTATATACAAAATTCATGAACTTACACCCTACTGAACTAAGAGAAAGTCAAAATGGACCAAGTGTTATGTTTTTCTCTCCTAAGGACTGTCACTGTACAATACATGGAGGGCGAGAACAGGACGATGGTTCCTACCAGCTCCCTATCGTGGTCCTGAACTGTAACCTGACCCGCCCCCAGAATAACGTCCCCACGCTTCTGACCCCTGGACTCATGAGGAATCTCTTCCATGAGTTTGGACATGCTATGCATTCCATGCTTGGAAGGACAAAGTATCAACATGTCACAGGTCTGTTTTCTCACATTTTACATTTTTAATTTGATTCAGAGTCAGGGAAAAAATTTATCAGTGGATGTAACCTGGGGATTTTTTATACTCCCGTCTTAAGACGGGACGTATTATGTTATAGGCTTCGTGTCCTTCTCTCTGTCCGTCCGTCCGTCTGTTAGCTTTTCTCGTGTCCGGCTCATAACTTTAATACTATAAGGCCTAGAGTTATCAAACTTTGTCAGCTGATACATCTTGGGTAGAAGGTGTGTCGCGCACAAAAAGTAGGTCGCTCTGACCTATAATTGAAAAGTTATAGCCAAATATGGAAAAATCCTGTCCGGTCCATAACTAGAAAACTATTAGACTTAGAATCATCAAAAGAATCATCAAACTTGGCCAGTTTATGCATCTTAGGTAGAAGGTGTGTCGTGACCTATTTCAAGGTCACTGTGACCTTTAATTTAAGTGGAATTTAAAAAAAAATGTTGTTTTTTTTTCTATTCATTTACACATTCAAAAAAATGTAAAACTATAGCACTAACCTTATTAGAAAAATGTTAAATCAAGAAAATACTTATTTTTTTAGCATATACTTGACAGCAATCTATAACAAATATAATGTATGTTAGAGAAATTCCACCACTCCCATGAGTCTAATTACAAGAAGAATTTTGATAACAGAAAATTGCATGTCAAATTAGAGAGAGAAATTAATGAGTTTAGTGTGAGGAGTAGCTGTAAGAGCATCGGTGCTATCTATATCCCTTGAGTATTGGGCCAAATGGGTAAGCCTGTTGGATTAAAAATAGCTCTTGTTGGCTAGCCGAAGTTTGAAAATGAATTTGATTAGAAGTAATTAAAACAAATTTGATATTGCATATTAAACTATTTTGATATTACATAATATTATGAACTTAAAAATTAATTTTATGGGGGTAGGGGTGGAATTTGCATGTCCATATGAATTGCATATTAATAATTAACTGTCTGACATTAAATCTAAAAAAAAAAATCATTGATGTTTTATATGTTTTAAAAATGTTTTATGGTAGATAGTGCAGATCCAATAATCTTTTTGGAGTAATGAGTAGACAAGCATCCAGTTAAAGATTAATTAATGTTTTCAATGTAGGAAGGCTAGCTGCATGTCTCTTTCATTTCTTCAGAGCATGGTCTTATCTGTATCCTTCGGGAATTAGACAGAAGAACTGTTGGTCAGTTTATATTTGATGGCTAGCCTTTTATTTCCAAAATTAATTAGGTATAGATTAAGTTGTGAAGACTAATTTGATATTGTTTAATATGATAGGCATTTGGCAAGGTATAGAAATCTATGAATGGTGTAATATTTGCTATAATTAATGCCTACACAACAGGAGATGGATAAACAAATTTTTTTAGGTGTGTAAAAATCATTGAAATCTTAAAATCAAGGTTGACATGATTTTCCTGCACTTTTAACTGTTTAAGATACATTGTAATTGTAATTTTTTGACGGGCGTATCATGCTGTGGCGTGGCACTTTTTATTTTAATATGTGGAAGCTTTTTTTTACAGGAACAAGGTGCCCTACAGATTTTGCTGAAGTTCCTTCAGAATTTATGGAATTCTTTGCTACTGATCCCAGAGTAATGATACTTATTATTATTTTCAATTATGGCATTACATACATGTATGTTTTGTATATATATACATTAACTGAGTACCTAATCCTTTGTAGGTGATAAGTTTGTTTGCTCGTCATTTTCGCACAGGGGAACTCCTACCTCTGGATGCCATTGAGAAATTTTGTAAAGCAAGCAATATGTATTCAGCTTCAGTAAGTAGATTGTAAAGAAAGTACAAAAGAAAAGCAATTCACAAGAAAAGAAGTCCTTACTTGCATGGATCTGGTATACGATAAACCAACTTTTATTCGCATGCAAGAAATTTTCACTAGTTTCACGATAGCCTCATCATCACAAATATTTCCTCCGCAAACTGATCCTTAAGGTTTCTGTGTCTATTAAAAACTGATCAAAAAAAAGGCTTGATCACAAAAAGTAATCGTTGTGAACTGGTTTACCCTCGATAAATCGCGAAATAAAGCCATCGCGAATAAAAGTTGGTTTACAGCATCATAACAGTTTTTTTTTCAAAATGTGCAGTTATCTAAATCCAAAGAAAATACACTGAAGAAGGACTTAATCATGCAGTCTTACATGTTACTACATGCACAATTAATACTTTTTTTGGGTTTATGCATGCACATTAAAATTCATAATGTATTAACTTCCTGATCTTTCCTTGCCATCTTCAGGAAATGCAGCTCCAGATTGTGTACTCAATGCTGAGCCAGAAGTTACATGGAGAATACCCTCTAGGCAAATCCACCACAGAGCTGTACGCAGAAATCCACAACCAGTACATGGGGGTGCCGTATGTTGAAGGCACAGTAAGTCTCTCACAACTGAGAAACAAGAAGGGCAATAACTCTGTAACATTCATCATTGTTGTTCAATTCAGATCCAATTCATCTTCGCAAGCCAAGGGTTTTTGGTTTGCTCCACTCCCCACAAACCCTTGGCAGATTAGAGCGAAGCGGACCGAAAACCCTTGGCTGGTGAAGATGGCTCCAAGTCTGTTTTTTTTTTAAATTGAATTGACGTACACAGATCTTTATGGAGTTAGATTCTTTGTCATTGAATATACAGTTGTTATAGAAAATGTTTCATTTCAAGAAAAAACACAATATACATTCATTGACTTGGTTTGAATCAACATGGATTTCTTGGACCTAAGAACCAATCTACATGTATTTGCCAGAGGCAAAGTTAAAGTCAGGTTAAAGAGCCATTACAGCTCATTTTAATATGTGATACTGTATATACAAACCCAATAATGGCAGCTATAAATAAAATTTACTTGACTTGGCTATTAAATAGAATCATGCACTGGCTGATGCAATGATTGGGGTAAATTTTGTTTACCAACTCTGGATTTAACTCAAGTAATTCCTTTATTAATTGCCAAATACCAAGAAATGCAAATAAGATGTAGCTGCATGATCCTGCCTACAACTTGGTGTAATAAACATCAAAGCAGTCCAAATAGTCTGCAGCAGGTCTAATATTTCACTTTCACTATCCAACATTGATTTCTTTCTTTGCTCAGTAAAACAGTTCAAATGTTAAACCTTACATGGCATTACTTTACTCTTGTTTTCCTTATTTCAGGCTCCACACCTGCGGATTGGTCATTTGAATGGCTACGGAGCCAGGTACTACTCTTACCTGATGTCAAGAGCTGTGGCTTCTAAGATCTGGCAGCAGTGCTTCAAGGAGGATCCTCTAAACAGGTTAATGTCTTTATACAGGTTTGTCAAGCACTGAATTCAGCACAAAGGAGGCTCTCTATGTCTCTGATGGCCAATGATTTAAATTGTCAGTAGTGTAACTGTTAGTTATTATTGAGACAAATTTGTTCACCCCTTGGCACTTTATTATTAGTTTGTTTTACTGTATACTCAGTATATATATACATGTGTATATATATATTTTACATATAAGAATTTCTAGAAAGAGGATTCAAAATTTTTACATTTTACAGAGAAGTAGGGGAGAGATTTAGGAGGGAGGTCTTGGCTTATGGGGGAGAAATTCCTCCCAAGGACCTAATCAGTGGTAGGTATATGTACCTTGTTCTGAAATCCAGATATTTTTATCATGTTTATCCTTCTAGCCTACCTGATTAAGAACATGTCTTTTCTTTTCTCAAATTACAGGAATGTTACAAAAACCTCTCACTATAGATGATATGGTAGACTCTTTAGTTGAAGAAATGAATAGCTGATAGTGTCTATAGCTAGAATGAGGATCAGGCTAAAGAAAAGAGTGAGGTCTGCCGAAGTAAATGTCACTGCACAAGATAATTTGGAATGGTTTGTGAAAGGTACCCTGTTTCGGTGCGGATATTAAATGGAGGCAGTGCAATGTGAAAGTTTAAACTAACATATTATGAAAACACCATGTAAAGAATTACATGGTTGTATCCCTTAACTGTGATATTTCAGTGCAGCATATGTTCCTAAATATTTATCATAAACACTATTACTGGATGAATGCTTTGACATTTTATTAAGTTTACAGTTTGCTAAAGATATAAAAGTTTGTCAGACAATACATACATGTATTTTACTCTAGACTACTATGTACAATTTGAAATGTTGTAAGTCTGCAGTATTTAATGCCTTGTGAACGCTTGCCACATTACTTACCAGTAAGGCAATAAAACTTCACATTAGTGGATCATATCCTGTCTTGAGCATTTCAACCAATTGGTATATGAACTTCAAAAGTATAACTCAAGGACCTATTTTACAAAACCCAGTATTGTAATTTCTCTAGATCTACAGATATTTTGATGTTTTAAAATGCCTTGTATGTGTACATGTATTTAAATAAAACTGTATAGGTACATGTATTTGAATTAAAAATTTGTTTTCAATGAGATATCCTATAAAATACCAAAACTTTGTTTTTATCTTTTTATGCCCCCCTTTGAAGAAGGGAGGGCATATTGCTTTGCTGCTGTCTGTCAGTCGGTCCACCATCAGTTTTCGCTCATTTTTTTCACATTGATTGCACATGATATTGAAATGAAATTTGGTATATAGATTTATCATAACAATATTTAGGTTAAGTTATGTTTTGGGTATGATCCAGCCATAAAGGACAGAGTTATGCCCCTTGGACTTGGAAACATTCCAATAATTTGCAGTTCTTACACAGAGTGTATACGTTGCAGATCTAAGAAGTCTGATTTTAATAAGATTGCCATGACATACTGAATTGTTTAGTCATCAAATTCAGATAGAAAGGCAAGATGAACTCTTTTTAGCTCACCTCAAAGAAGTTGGGGGAGCTTAATTATGTAATACCCTCGGCGTCAGTGTCAGTGTCGGCGTCCCAGGTTAAGTTTTTGGGAGCAGTCTTCCTTTTAAGTATGTCTATGTCCTATATTGATTAGACATGCATGGAAGATGCTTCTAGTGTGTTTCATTGTACCAGTCAAAGTTTCAGATGCTGCAATTTCAGCAAAGGAATGACCAGGTTAATGTTTTTGGAGGAGGTTAACATTTTTGGAGCAGTTTTTAGCTCACCTGAGCTGAAAGCTCAAGTGAGCTATTTTGATCACATTTTGTCCGGCATCCGTCTGTCTGTCTGTCTGTCTGTCCGTCTGACTGTCTGTAAACTTTTCACATTTTCGACTTCTTCTCAAGAACCGCTGGGCCAATTTCAACCAAACTTGCCACAAAGTATCCTTGGGTGAAGGGGATTCAAGTTTGTTCAAATGAAGGGCCACGCCCTCATTCAAGGTGAGATAATTGGGAATTAATGAAAATTTGGTGGCATATTTTAAAAATCTTCTTCTCAAGAACCACTGTGCCAGGAAAGATGAAACTTATGGGGAAACATCCTCAGGTAGTGGAGATTCAAGTTTGTTCAAATCATGACCCCCGGGGGTAGGGCGGGGCCAAAATGGCCGACCTAAGTTTTACATAGAAATATATAGGAAATTCTTTAAAAATCTTCTTCCCAAGAATTACGAAGCCATAATTCATCATATTTATATGAAAGCATGCTCAGGTAGTGTAGATTCAAGTTTGTTCAAATCATGAACCCCGGGGGTAGGGCGGGGCCAAAATGGCCGACCAAAGTTTTACATAGAAATATAAAGGAAAATTCTTTAAAAATCTTCTTCCCAAGAATGACAAAGCCATAATTCATCATATTTATATGGAAGCATGCTCAGGTAGTGTAGATTCAATTTTGTTGAAATCATGAACCCCGGGGGTAGGGCAGGGCCAAAATGGCCGACCAAAGTTTTACATAGAAATATATAGGAAAATTCTTTAAAAATCTCCTTCCCAAGAATGACAAAGTTATAATTCATCATATTTATATGGAAGCATGCTCAGGTAGTGTAGATTCAAGTTTGTTCAAATCATGACCCCCGGGGGTAGGGCGGGGCCAAAATGGCCGACCAAAGTTTTACATAGAAATATATAGGAAAATTCTTTAAAAATCTTCTCAAGAATGACTAAGCCATAATTCATCATATTTATATGGAAGCATGCTCAAGTAGTGTAGATTCAAATTTGTTCAAATCATGAACCCCAGGGGTAGGGTGGGGCCAAAATGGCCGATCAAAGTTTTTAAAGATATATATATAGGAAAATTCTTTAAAAATTATTTTCTAAAAAATAGCAAATCCATGATTGGTCATGGGACTACTTTTGGATTTAAACTTTACAATAAAAAGCCATTTTCTACTTTTTCCTACCCTTAGTGCTCAGGTGAGCGATGTGGCCCATGAGCCTCTTGTTGGTGAAGGTCTCATTTCCAAGGAACTACAAGCCCTATGTCAACCAAACTTGCATGGATGATACATCTAAGGATGCATATTAACAGACTTGCTTCGGATGCTGAATCTGACCTACATTTTCCTGTTGAGTGAACAGGTTAAAGTTTTTGGTGCAGGTCTCATTTCCAAGTAACTATGAGACTATAATGACCAAACTTGCATGGATGATACATCTTAGGATGCGTACTACCAGGCTTGCTTCGGATGCTGAATCTGACCTACATTTTATGGATGAGTGAACCAGTTAAATTTTTTGTTGCGGGTCTCATTTCCAAGTAACTTTGAACACTATAATGACCAAACTTGTATGGATGATACATCTAAGGATGCATACTGCCAGGCTTGCATCGGATGCTGAATCTGACCTACATTTTCCGATTGAGTAAACAGGTTAACGTTTTTGTTGCAGGTCTCATTTCCAAGTAACTATAAGCCCTTTGTTGACCAAATTTGCTTGGATGACACATCTTAGGATGCACACTACCAGGCTTGCTTTGGATGCTGAATCTGACCTACATTTTCCAGTTGAGTGAACAGGTTAAAGTTTTTGATGCAGGTTTGATTTATAAGATACTATGAGCCCTATAATGACTTAACTTGCATGGATGATACATATAGGAAGCATACTGCCAGGCTTGCATCGGATGCTGAATCTGACCTACATTTTATGGATGAGTAAACAAGGTAAAGTTTTTGGTGCAGGATTCATTTCCAAGTAACTATGAGCCCTTTAATGACCAAACTTGCATGGATGATACATATAAGGATGCATACTACCAGGCATGCTTCGGATGCTGAATCTGATCTACATTTTGTGGATGAGTGAAAAGGTTAGTTTTTGATGCAGGTTTCATTTCCAATTAACTCTGAGCCCTATAATGAGCTAACTTGCATGGACGATACATCTTAGAATGCACACTAATGGACTTGCTTCAGATGCTGAAATCGACATACATTTTTCAGATAATGGACCAGGTAAAAGTTATGGGTGCAGGTCTGTTACCAAAAAACTATAAGGCTTATATAACACTGTATAAACCAAACTTGCACAAATGATGCATCAAGGGATGAAAATTCTCAAATTTGCTTCAGATGCTGGATTTCAATTACATTTTCATGAAGAAGAACTAGTTTGAATTTTTTATATAGGTCTATTTAAAGTATCAGATCAAAATTGCATAAATATCTTCATTTTTGGGATGTACACTTTTTGTTGGTTAATTGTGTGACTTTGCCTTACTTAAAGACAACATTCGTTGAGGTGAGCTCTGTAATCTCTGATTACCTATGTTTTGTTGTTGTTGAAACACTTTAAAGCCGAATGCAGCATAAACTGACAAGTTCTGGTGATCATAGGTTTCAAACTGTTCAAGATATGGATCAAAATAAATTTGAACATGAATAGTTGCAAAATTCAAAATGCAGATCATTATGACCTCCTTCTAAGTCAAAATGATGAGGTCCTTAAATGCACCGACTGAAAAGATTCAATCCTAGTCCTTAAAAATAACAAGCCAAAGATTTTTATGACATAATAATAAGACATTAATGGCCAGACATGCAGTTCCGTAAAGATTTTTAGCAACCAATACTATCCTTTTCATTATCTCCCCATGATTAAGGTTCACATCCTTCTTTATAATTTAGGATACTGTGACAAATTGGGCAATGTGCCAAAATTCCAACAAGTTGACGCACAAAGCACAACTGGCCATAGCTATTGGGTGAGAAAAAGCTAAAGATTTTTAAAAACGTTTAAAGAAAGACAAACAGGTGGACACCAGAAAGTGTGATCAGTAAAATTTACTTGACTTCGTAAATCAGATGTGACTGCATAGCCAGAAATGGACAATATTCTAAACAAGTCTGAAGAGGCATATCTTCAAAAGATTGGTCTAATATTTGAGCTTGCCTGAGCTACAAATGTAAAACCTTGATCTTCATTCAGTAGGCACACCTTTTGATCAAATCTGTCCCAGAAAGAAGTTCTACAAATTATTTCAAGTATCCCTAACTGTGTCATGATTTTTTTCCCCTACCAGTAGGGCACTTGATACCTTGCAATATTGTGGTGAAAAGCACTACCAGTACTTAGTCTGGAGGAAAAGTGAATTTCTGTTCAGTAAACGGTGGCATATAGGTACTTCAGCACAAAAGAAAAATACAGCAATGTAAATATTTTTAATTACTTCATTATTATCACAGTTACAATTTGTAATTTTGAGTTTTTTTGATATAAGCAAAATATGATAAACTATATATATTGCTTTGGAAACAATAACACGTTTTGTGCTGAAGACAATTATAACAAAGCTTCAGATCAAAACAGCATGGAATATATTAGGGTTTTAAATTATGTTACATTTATCATAAAAATCCCAACAAATCTGTCTTAAAAATTTCACTCATTTGGTTTTAATTACCAAAAACTTAATTATACTACTGGTATATATTATATTAGCATAAAAGACCAATGCTCTATGAAATGAAAAATGGAATCAAAATTATTTTGAATTCTTCCATCCACCGAAATTCTAACATCTATGATTCTAGAACAAACATTAGGATATACATGTATATAGCAACTACATTTAGACATACTTATCTAACATTTACAAAACACTCTTTGCTAGCCTATTATAAATCATTTCATATGAAGAATGCCAAAAATCCATCTATATTTATTTGTAACGGAATTATTCAAACAATGAACAAATATTCAACAAATATTTGAATTTTCAGAAATATGTACATGCATTTTTTTTTTAGTTTAAAATTAAATAAAAATATAACTAAGTACTTGATGAGCAAGTTTTCCCTCTAACGACAGCCATTTTTTTAAATGAGATGTTAATTGTGGTTTTGGTACACTGCAAGAATGTATACTAATAAAATAAAAAAATATAGAAATCAGTACTGAATGCAGTACATGTACTCCATAATAAAATACATACATGTATAATGTGAACAAAGAAAAATATTTGGAAGTTAAGATCTGATGAGGAGGCACCATGTTGAGCATTCTTTTCAGTAAGTTTGAACTAAATGCAAGACAGTTTATGAAAGAAAATTAAACAAATTAACAATCTACAATAAATATGTAGCTTAGATTTCTTTCGTATATTGAAAGGATTCATTAGATACCATTGTGAATTCTAATCAAATATACAAACTATTGGGTTTTTTTTTCTCTCTATTAACCTTATTATACATGTACATATAGATAAGCCTGAGGTGAACCTTGGTACATAATGTAAGTACCAGTATTTATCACTGGGCATGTTGATTAACAAACAAACCAGTTAATGCAAATGTAATATATAAAATGCCAATGTGTAGTCCAAAAATGTTTATCCTAGGAGATCAATGATTTATGCGAGTAGCACCATAACTATGAAATATTTTCCCTAAAAAATCAAAACATTCACAGCACTTGAATGTAAATGTATCTGTTTTCTTGTTGAAAATGTAAAGAAAATTAAGATATCCTATAGTTTGTTTATTATATTAATTACAAATTATGATTACAAATATATTCTACCCCAGTAAATCTTTTTAGTACTGTGTTGATCATCATGCCTCCAAACCTGACCGGGAAAGTAGACAGGGGCACTGCTTTACAATTACATATGGGGCTCATATGTAACTGACTCAGTATTTTATAGCACTGTAGGGTTCTTATGTATGTTTGATTAAGTCTTTTAATTCCATGTGTGTTACTCACTTTTTGAACATAGTTCTTCAGTTCACTTGATTCTGTGCAGGGGCATATTTGATTAGGTCAGTTTGATTTTAGTATTACATGTACCTCCCAGTACTGTATACATACCGGTATTGGATTTTAGAGCAATGATTGGCACAGACTGTTTTGCTCAAAGTTGAAATGCAGATCATATCCTGAAAGTTCATATTTAGAACTGAAAAGTGAATGTTAAACAATAATTATGTGTGACTTCATTTCTTTGAATCAGTGACCATTAATGTAATACATTGCACTGTCAGTCAAATAAAAATATTGAACTTTGAAAAAAAAATCAAAACAAATGTGGTGGTCACATTTTCTGACAAATGTATACATACATGTATATTCTTATCATCCTTTTATACTTTACTGCAATTTTTCAAAAACAAACCCGTCATAAATTTGTAGGAGAAATAAAGACAGGTTCATGACATATATAGTCTCCATTATAATGCATTATATCATGCAAGTACATGTATATATAAAACTACTGATCTATAAGAACAAGGCATTTATACAAGACAGTCTATATTTGATCTACAATGGATATAAATAATCACCAGGGTATATACACTGTATATATTATATCTATATATAGAAATATCCCACAACCAATGAATCAGTCACAAATAACAGCTTAATACTGGTGAGTTCAAAAACAAACCACTCTATTAAACAGAAAAATAAAGGATTTCACATTTTAACATTAAGTAATAATACAAAATGTCAACAGAAAAAAAATATCCATATGAAATTATATAAATACCCTGTAATAATCCAGATTTGACATATGTTGTTCTAGAACTTCTAAACCAAAATATCAAACATTAGTAAAAGTTCATCTGCTTATCAATCTTTTTAAAGTTGATTACAATTTTCTTAAGAAAATAAAAAAAAGAGAGAAATATCATTTTAAAAGTTGTGCAGGACTTAGGAAATGAACTCACCACTTTTAAGTCATGTCATTCCCATCTGTATTAAATATTCTGATATCACTACACATAATAATACCAGCTTTTATATTAAGAGCTCCTAAGTATTTGAATAGGCATTGAAAATCTTACACTATGTACATGTACTTAATGCAAATAATGGTGTATACAAACAAGTATATGTAGAAATGTATAATGTTTTGTAGTAACATACTTCATATAACATATTATACATACATCAAGACAGTTATTGCATTGAATGGCAGAAATGATATTGTCCTAATAGCTAATAAAAGCAAGTTTATCACAAAAGGTGTATAATGAATACAAGGTAATCTTCAATAAACATCAGTATATAAATTAAAATCCAGTAATACTGAACAGTCTTCAGCAAAACCTCTACAGAGCAACTTTGTATTTCAAAAGCCCTTCCTGATTCACTGACAAATAAATAATTTCAATATGCTTTATACTTGTGTGTGTATTCCAATGAAATTTTGTCTGCATGCTTAATTAAACACGTAAAATTACTGGGCAATTCGTAACACATGCAAAACTTAAGTTATAACAAGATGGAACACAACTTATAATTCTGTTTGAAAAATCTATATTAAATGTTCACCCCCCGCATTCACTAATGAAAATTGCTGGTATATACATGTATTTATCCCCGAGTACCCAAACTCTGTCACCATAAAGCGGAAAACATTGGAGTTGGGGATTTAGTGACATCACTCTTAGCAAAGTAGAATTTCATTTAAAAGAGATACTTGAGGTATTCTATACATATATTCAGCACAAAAAAGTTAAACACATTTCACTCTCAGGAGGGAATAACTCTATTTTCCTAAACTGTTAAATGTGCAATTAAAATTAACCATTGCTACACACCTGACTAATAGTCCTTTTAGGAATGTTACTTATATGTATAGTTTCTCTTCTAGATTTGAAATGACATGAGAGTGGATATTGAAAAGTTTGGGGGAAAGAAATCAGTCTATTAAAGGCAGACAATATTGGCCAGATTATGCCCTAGCAGCTTCCAATAGCAGCAGTAACTCTGATAAAAGGTGTTTTACTTCTACATGAACATATATCATCAACTCCGTCCCGGGACATCTTCACTCAGAATAAAATAATCTGTAGCTACTGTCAACATTAAATCTTAAACTGCTTTAATCTATAACAAAGCAAACAAAAAATCAACTGTAAATATCAATACTCCTGAATTTTACTTTACAAGGCATTACCTAAATATTATTTTACTTTCTAAAAATGATATGGTTGTACAACTTTTAGGAGAAAACAATATGTTTGTAAATATCCTTTAAAAATTATCTGATAGATGGCACAATTAAAGCATAAAAAAATATGAGTAAAGAAATATATTCATGTAAAATTATAGTATATAGACGGCAGTAATAGATATAAATAAGGAGGATCTGAAGACCTCTGTGGTGAGTCAGGGAAGAGTTGTCTACTCCTTCTTCTGTTTCCGTAGTCTAAGGTAAGGCCAGAACCCCATCCAGAACTACACAAAGGGAACAGTCAATTAGTTATATTTTCCTTGTCTTGGTCTTATTAAAAACAACACAATAAAGTTTTCAAAAATGTCAAAAAATGTATCATAAAATTTTGTGTATGTTTGAAACACATAAAACCCGGTACTTTAAATCCCATATAATTGAGAATTTGATAAGATATACACATTTAATGACCTGTTTCATAGAAGAGGTTTTCTGAGTCTGACATAAGATTTATAAACAAACATCAGACTAGCATACCTTAATTTCAGGTTTCATTCCCAGGTATAAATATCTTGTGTGAGCACTAAAAAAAAAAGAAATTGTATGCTCATTAAATTGTGTTATAAAAAATAGCATTCTCTGTTAAAGTGATTTTATGATATGGGATCCAGTTCATCACCTACCCACACACACTTAAGTAATCAATAAAAATATTTGCAAATTTGATTGAGCTGCAAATACATGTACTACTGTATACAGTGTTATTTTTGCCCCGTGTTATTTTTGCCCTTTCATATATTGAAATAAGTTTGCCCCATTTTAAATTCGCCCAGAATTATTTTTCATTTAAGATATAATACTGTTTACTTTGAATTCGCCCCATTTTAAATTTGCCCATTGCTGACGAGGGCGAAAGGGGTGAAAATTAAATCTTGTGTGGCACTAAAAAAAAAAGGTATGCTCATTAAATTGTGTTATAAAAAATAGCATTCTCTGTTAAAAAATTTCCCTGTCTACAGTATTTATAGAAATTAGATAACCATAAAATTTTTGTAATAATTTGTGTTTTACCTAAATAATACTGAGAGGTAGGTACCGGTCCCTGCCAGGATGTGCCACCAGGCATGAAGCTGGAAAACTGGAGCAAACATCCCAAGATATTCTTTTCTTATGAGCCTACAAAACAGATACACTGATACATTTCATGAGCTAACAAACAGCTATTATCACTTCATGTAATTTACATAATACATCAACATATTTCTATCAAAACTTCTGACGAGTTGGGTGTATGGATCAACTTATAGTACACTGTACTTGTTCGTATTGCCTGTGGTATTGTATTGAATAAAGGCATTCCAATATTTGTTGATATTTTGTAACTTGAAAAATAACAGTTAAGCTTGCTGCTGCACACAAATAAAAATAATTGTTTATTCAGAAATCTGACATTTGAAAATATTCTAAACAACTCTAAATTTAAATATCCAAGAAAACAGCATTTACAGTGTTTACATTGTTAGCCATACGTACTGGAGATTTCCACAGAAATGTTGATCTAAGTTCCAGAGTATAAAGCCAGTCATATAGGTAACAAGACCAGTTATGTACAGAGGCGTGTTGTGCTCATAGTTTCTGAAATATGCAGTCAGAGTTTAGGAATAAGAGAAACAAAGAATCAATTATTACAAGTAAATGTTCAACAAAATATGGGTATATAGTACTATATACCACATAAATAGAATTTTTAGCAAGGTTTATATTTTGGCATTATTAGCAAAGGTGCTGAGTTTGCTAAAATTGCACAATACAAATAATTCATTCAGCACTAAGGAGCTTTGGCTATCATGCAATATATTGTAAAATAGCTAATTTAAAATTTACTTTTCACTTAAATTACATATCAATTTTTAGGGTTACAACACAAAACTTGCCTCTCACTAAAAATTCAATACAGTGTGGTCTATATAGCAATTTTGTAACATCTTCAAATTAGAGTCAAATTCAAATGTAGGCTGCTTCCACTGGACAATTGTGGTATCTGTTCACAAAATAATTTTCTGACAAGCATAGCATATTTGTTATCAATTAAGTTTAATGCACCAGTATATACGGTAATATCAGTATTGCATGTACAATGTCCTGCTAAGAATTGTTTTACTTTTAAAATTTTTCTTTAAATTGTCCAATAACTCTGGTAATAAATTGATTAAATTCCTTCTGAACAGCAATATTTATGTAATTTTAAATTTAATTTCAGAACAATTAAATTTTACTTCATGTGGTAATACCTTTCTGAATCTTTGTTGAAAGTTATTGCCCTTTATTAACAGTTCATACTGTAGATTACTAAATTTTCACGACACCTTATTTTCGCGAGATAGTCATTGCCACTTTATAAATTTTTGAATTGTTGATTGCTCTATATAATCCATAGGTTATGGTCGAGCACTCTGCCTCGCGTAATTACGCGAAAGTAAAGTTCTCGCGAATAAAAAGTGATTTACAGTAGTTAAATTAATTTGTTTGAAAAATCAGTTTGGTCCATTGCTTTAATTGTGAAAGATACTAAATTCTCGAATATCAATGTTAATTGTCAAACAATACACAACTTTAAGGAGTCCTTCTGTTTTATGCCCTAACATTAAGGATACCATATATGCCTTCATAAAAATATGGACATGCAGATGCATAATTGTTTACAGTTGAACACTGCAGATTAGAACGTCTCAAGTAGGTTTAATTTATTTCCTTTCTAGCTTGTACCAAAAGATTTGATTGGTAAGCAAACCAGTCGTAAATTTCATTAGACCAGACTTAGGCCAGGGGAGAATAACGTGACATTACAATTAATTTATAGTTTCTCTATGATGAAACACGAATTACATTATGTCAAGATGTGTTGTTGCATCTGGTAATTCTTATCTCAAGTTTCAAATGCCTTTTATTGGACTTGTATCTAGAAAGAATTTATTTGGGTTCATATAGAGAAATAAATTTATTATCATATGGCCTTTTGCCTCAGGCTATATGGAATAAAAACCATGTACACCCTTCCCTGAACCTGGATTACTTAATATATTATATATCCCTGATATGCAGTTAGTAAAAGGGGTGAAAAGATGATGCAATATGAGTGGAGTTTTTTCACAGTACAGATCACCATCAATTATTATTAACATGCTAGTCTATAAGTGCACAAGAAAGAAAGAAATTACAAGTTAAATGGGTTTTATTTTTCTGCAAAGTATTAGTAACTGTTTGCATAAGTGATACTGATACATATAATGATAAAAACATATTAATACAAGAAAAGTCGGCCAGTCACACTTTGCCTAATTTTACCGCAATATACAGGGAGGATAGATTATAATTTACACTTCATAATGATGCTTTTATAGTAATTGACTTCAAAAATTGTTTTTGTGTTTTATATGTTTTAATATACGAAATTTATGTGCCTCTTCATGGCCTAACTTTAGCTCCACACTCACGATCTGCAATCATGACATTTTTACGATGTTTACATCTTAATGTGACAAAAACAAATTTAAGGATATTTTTTATCTATATTTTTAATGCATGTAAACTATTGAAGCACATGATTACCATTTTAATGATATGTTTTATGAATTGGGAGGGTTCTGGGGATTTTAAAGATGTAAATACAAGTCTACATTAATATTAATTTGTTGATTCTGAATCTTTTTCTTATATATGCAAAAACAGAAATAGGACTCTTTATATAGCCCCACTTCAACATTTCTCATGCACTTTAAAGAGGAGAGCTATAGAGGGCTTTATATGAAGGAACTTTTATATCTGGTGTTTACCAAGTTATCTCATACTAAGATAAGTGAAACCTCACTGAAGGGGAAACATTCACAGGAGGTCCTAACTGAAAATTACATTAGAAAGCATGATAGCTTTCAGATGACGAACAACTGTCAATAACAGAACCTAGAACAAGACAACATACACATGGTCTCAGACATATTACATGTATTATCAAACATAGAATTATGTAAAACTGATTATATATAATACTTACAACATTAACCTGACACTTGAAAGAACCATAAGAGTGACTAGAAAACCATAAGAAACCTGAAAGAAAAGACTTGTGCATTACAGGCAAAAATACCAACTTTTTTCATGAAAGAGAAAAGCTCAGTGTATATAGACTGGTAAAAGATATGCTCCTGCATAGATTGTTAAATAGATATTTCTTCATCAATCATGGTGTAATAAGGTGAGATATGAGCAGTTCTCTCTTTTTGTTAATTTTTGGACCTAATTTTTAAGTATTTTTTATCTGAGGCAATGTACAATATATTCACCTTTTTGTTTTTTAATTTAGTAAAATTACACAGCCCTTAATGCATTTTTTTTTTCAAATAAAAACATTAAAAAAAGAAAGAAAAAGGCAACAAAAAATAAAAAAAATGAACATGTATAATGTTTTGTACATTTTTTTCTAAACTTCTTCCTTATTGTCTAAAACGTCAGTGATACACCCATTACTTTTATTAATATTTGTGTATTTTTAATTTGACAGATATTTTTTTAACAGATAGAGTTAACATTATGAAAGGTGTATTGATAAAAAGGAGTGTTCTGAAATCAGGACTGGCTCATCCTAAGTGCAGATTTACCTGTACAACTGTCAGACATCGACTGATTGTGAGGTTTAATAGACATCAAAGAAATGTCTTTATTTATAGTATTTTACTAAAATAAATATCAAAAGCATGTATTAAATGATTTATCAACACCACAGATTTTTGTTGTTTTTTTTTTTCAAGCATTGAAAATTCCTCAAAGTTCATAAATATGCAATTCATATGCACTTACCTGAAAAAATATCACATGTTTGCTGAATAAGTAAAACTGAAAAAAAAGATAAATACATGTATGCAAATTAAATATTCATTGACTAATTTACAATATATGTGAATTAAAATGCAGTGCTAATGTAATTCAGACATGATTCCACAGAAAAGAAAAAAAAGCTGAGGGGGGGTCTGGGGGTCCTCCCCCTGAGGGGTTTTAAGGGGCAGTGCCCCTGATCAGAGGGCACATGATTATCATTTCAATGACATGTTTTATGACTTGGGAGGGAAAATGGTTATTTTAACATTAAAAAACCCCCTGAGAACTGAATTTTAGAGCACATATTTAAATTTTGAATGTAAACCAGAAGTCTCTGTCGAGACTGTAGCTCTACTGGTTTATACTTAAAACAAAGGAAGAGAAAAGTAGCAGTTGGAACTTGAGACTTTAAATCAGCAATAAATAGAAAAATGATCCTTGCCACTCATCAAAATAAAAACCAATGCACAGAATTATGTATCTTAGTATAGTCTACTTGTGTGCCAAGTTATATTGAAATCAGACCAAAACTGTAGGAGGAGTAGCATTTTGAAAGAATTTCACAGAAATTTCTATTTTTAGTAACCATGGGCAACATTGTTATATATAAATCAAAAACCTGATGCACAGAATTATGTATCTTAGTGCAGTCTACTTGTTTGCCAAGTTATATCAAAAAACCAAAACTGTAGGAGAGTAGCATTTTGCAAAGAATTTCACAGAAATTTCTATTTTTAGTAACCATGGAACACCGTTTATATAGACCTGATGCACAGAATTATGTATCTTAGTGTAGTCTACTTGTGTGCCAAGTTATTCTTCATCAAATCTGTAGGAGGAGTAGCATTTTGAAAGAATTCTCAAAGAAATTTCTATTTTTGTAACCACGGCAACATCGTTCATCGAAATCAAAACCCGATGCACAGAATATATATCTTAGTGTAGTCTACTTTTTGCCAAGTTATATTGAAATTACACAAAACTGTAGAAGGAGTAGCATTTTTAAAGAATTTCACAGAAATTTCTATTAAAAAAGTAACCACAGCAACACCGTTCATCAAAAAATAAAAAACCGATGCACAAAATTATGTATAGTGTAGTCTACTTGTGTGCCAAGTTATATTGAAACGTCAGTGATACACCCAAAACTTTTATTAATATTTGTAGCATTTTTAATTTGAAAATTTGTTTACAGACAGAGTTAACATTATGAAAGGTGACGATGGACGCATTACTATCGCATAAGCTCTTCTGGTCTCTGACCAGTAGAGCTAAAAATAAACTTGAAAATGTCTACTTAAAGTTCTTTTATGGAGAAATAAATTACAATGAGAAACACCACATGTCCAGATCTCGATGGTTATATAAACAGATTTCTGATTGGAAAAAGTCAACAAGGAGGCAATTATTCAACCAATGAATAAGCCGTTCACATAAAAAAATAAAGGAACTGTTTCGAAGAAAGTAAAAGTCAAATTAGTTACGGAAAAAAATCCGAATTACTATAAAAGCGGATTTGAAAAATAAGAGCGGAAATAACAATCCGGATAGCGGATTTCCGCTTTAAAGCTGAAAAAAATCATGTCTGGTAATTGTAGGCTACACTGGGGAGCAGTCAGTATCTGGTAACTGAGACAGTCCTATAAATCTGTTACTTACAGCGGTGACAACAGCACAGTATATAGCCAGGCCAATCTGTAGCGGCCGATTCTTATGATTCAGTTAAATCTGTTACTTACCGCGGTGACAACAGCACAGTATATAGCCAGGCCAATCTGTAGCGGCCGATTCTTATGATTCAGAGGACTAGTGACTTCCAGGCTGTACAAATATAATACAAGTCTTAGGTCTACTCCTACAACCTCACACAATAAAGGCAAGAAATGACAAGTGTATGGCATACAGTGTACTGTTTATTGTTTCATATTAAATTTTCTGAGAAATTTGGAAGCATATAATTTTGATTTAACTTTGAAAAAAAAAGGTTTTAAAAGATCATAAATTTGTAAACTCCTGACAAAAAAACAAGCTTTTTTTTTCATAATGCAAATCATATGCTTATTTTTGCAAGGTGATAAATTTTCTGTTTACTGTACTTTTCATTTTTCACAACAAATTATACAAACATACTCTGAATAAAGATGGAAAGCTGCTCCATAGATCATAGGTAACTCATCTAAAAGCTGTCAAAAAAAAATTAGATGCACAAGCTTTATATCAATACTTCATAAACTTCTCAAGCATTTAATTGTCAAATAAATCTTAGCTTATTATTAGGCATGCATATGTTGTGAACAAGGAGAGTTAAATTTTTGAGAAGGAAAAAATGAATTCAAGGAATCTGACAATACAAGCATGTCTGTTTTTTCCCCAAGGACAAGTCTCTGACAAAAAAAATTAACAAACCTGCATACTATATAATAAAGTCATATGAAAGCACCAAGAACCAAATCCAACAGCTGAAAAAAACATGAAAAATATAAATATTAACTAGATGAACATGATGAAACAATATTTGCCAAATTTAGGTACAGATTCTAGTAGTTATTTTATATACAGTTATGTCACTTTTATGATACAAAAAAAAGTGTGAAAAGTAGCATTTCTAGGAAAAAATGAGCCTCTAAGTTGACAAATAATTTTATGAAGGAGACAATAAATAGTGTTAGCCTTTATATATATCTAACTCAAGTATCAAATGAATGGTGTTACATGTATTCCTTAATTTTCCATCATAGAATTTATATACACTGTACATGTATGAATACATATGATTCAATTAATTAACATACATTTGTTTCTCAAAGGAAGGGATATCATTTTGTATTTTTTTATGATAAAAAGTGAGCTCAATCATTTTTTCTTACCAAGTTGAAAAGTTCAAGTAAATGCTTTTTTTTTTTTTTGGACAGCTACAAGCAACTAGAGCTGTCAAAGCCTGGCTTACTTTTAAAACATATAATAAATGTTTCTGAATAACAAGTGCACTGGATTCATGACTACTAACTGTTTACTCTCTTAAAAATAAAATACAGTCAATTCTCGAATTATCGCCATTCGATTCATCGCCATTTTCGCAATACCGCCATGATTTCCCAAGAACGTTTTTCCTGCTATATAAAATTCTCTTTATAAAAAATAATCCGCCACCCTGTTTTCACAACAAACGTCCATTTTTAAGTGTCAATTTTATATAACAGGTGCATGTGGTCAGTGAAGCGCGGCTAATTTTACGCTATCCCTGTTGTAAAGCATGCAAAGCCAGTCAAGGTACATGCAATTAAGTAAATTAATTAAATAAACAATAATTTTAACATTTACTGTTAGAATTATTTTGTTTTCTGTTTAATAAAATCATTTATAATTCAACGCTTCGCCAAGAAAACACGATAACGATATCATTTTGATGATCTCTGCTTTTAAAAAAAATTCAAAGTTTGCTTAAAAAATAATTATAAGTCAGAAATTGTGAACGTTTCATTAACAATGATTTCATAAACAATGAATTTATTCAAGTACTTATTTTGCACAATCTATAACGATCGCAGCATTTTTTTTTCAATAAAAAGATTTACATACATACACATGTACTTGTCTTAATTTCATAACTGAATATTTTGTTTTAGCAAAATTGTACATTAAAAAACTTACTTGAAGTATTTTCAAATATAGAAATATCATTATATATACACATGTACATGTGATAATAAGAATAGAAACGCTAAATGGTATTTCTAAGAACGATAACTCTATGTCTTATTTCCTAAAAGATGGAAAATTCAATTCATCGCCAAATTCGTTATACCGCCATGATTTCTAAATTACAAAGGGTGGCGGTTTATCGAGAATTAACTGTAACTTAAAAATAAAGAATACACCATTTATATAACCTGCAAATTTTAATGCATGTGCCTCATGTATAAACAAGATAAATAATATGGAAGTCCAAAACACAAATACATGTTTTGTCAATGATTATTTTTTTGCAGCAAAATGGACTTCACACTTAATGCAAAAGAAAAATTCTCAAATTGAAAAATTTATAAAAAATTGTTTAAATACCAAACATTACTTAATTATTCTCTACTTGCATATTCAAATTGAAATTTTAAAAAAGTAAAAAGTAAAAGTAAATTAGGGCAGTTTTATAAAGTGACTATAAATACAACTTTATGATGCATCAATTATATGATTATTAATATATAAGAACATGGTATATCCATGATATCTATACATTTAAAACTACTTTAAGCTATGAAATGTAAAATTTGCAGATAATGTATAAGTAAATGTATATATATATATATGAAGTAATGTACATGTACTTATTTTTCCTTCTCAAATAATACCATGTTTGGGGGATTAACATTGAAGCTGAATTTAATATCAACTTAATTATCACAAAGTTTCCATTTCAAGACCGAGTAATAAAATATCCTTGAACTAAGAAATGTATTAACTCAAGTATTTTTTTTTTATTTGGTTGTAAATTCTGCTGTGATATGCTGGACATTTCACTGATTTAGTTCAGACAAATTATACAAAATTTAGGAAAAGAAAGAAATCAACTTTTATACAGAATGTTGCAGGTATTTATTTTTAACTAAAAGTTATGCAGAAAATTTTGCATGCTCCTCAGTCAATTCAATGGACAGATTGATCCAAAACAAACTTGAAGTGCACTTTTCTAGGGCCAGGATATAAAAATGTGCTCAAATTGATTTGACCTGCTTTTACACAAGACAAGATTGATTGAAAATGCACCTTATTACTACCATATCGGCATATCCTAAACTCAATTCAGGGCATCGGTGCTGCATCATCTACTCTCTATAGTCATTTTTGAGTGATTTAAAAGATACCCATTACAACATATCTATTGCAAAACAACTAAGTAAATATTTGGACCTTTACACAGTACATGCATAACTATGTCTGTTGGCAGCCTTTCTGATCTAAATGAACAACCAATATTAGCATTATAACAATTAAGCAAACTAAAATAGAGGCAATTTAAACCAAGAACCGTTTGGATTTCATTGTGATTTAGAATAATTTAAAAGCATTGAAACTGAATGTGTTTGAAAATCAATATGCCCCCAGTAGTGGCTATTTCCTCTTCGTGGTGTCCATTGATCAAGAATTAAATCAGGAAAAATAATGAAATAAAAATGGCTTTAGACATGCTTCTAATACAAATATTTCTAAAGTCATTTTTATTTCATTCTTTTCTTTTTTAATGTCATTTGCTTCTAGTTCAGATTTAAATAAATCAAATCCTGGTGTATACATAAATAACTTTCTTTTAACAATGACCACACAAATCAAAATATTAAAACTAATTACTTGTCATGTTCAAATCTTCATTTTATGAATTTGGATCTGGGTATAAAAAAATTGAGAATTTGCACGCAGCAGTATATGATTTTTGAACATATAAAAATAAATACTTACTGAACACAGAAAAATGACACCACTGAAACCTCTCCTCATGTCCCTCTATGGTTCCTATTCCCAGCATCAACAGGGAGGGGATAATGAAAATCACATTGCTTATGGTGTTCCCTGCAAAAACATCATAAAAATCCATGGAAGGCAGAAAAAAAAAACTTTGTTCTACTCAAAACCTTGTTATTTTTCAACTTGTTAAGCAGTTCTTGAAAAATTTAACATAATTAAATTGGGATGTTATGAAACTTATGATAAAACGAATTTATGATGTGTACATGTCATTACCCTCAAATTTATTAATTATAATTTATAAAATATTAGCCTAGGATTAGATATTGGCCACCTTCAATGCCTTTCTTTTTTATGTGTGATTCTGGGTATATATGCATCACTTTAAATTGTTAGCTTTGTCCCTTGTAAGTTGTATAATATACATGTGTATTATATTAATACATCAACTCTATTTTTTAATATAGATATTATTCAAATATATACAGAAGATACATCATCATAGTCATAACAAACTACATCTAGTCTAGTGAAATCTTTAAATTCCATTTTCTTTGTTTAATTATTGTTTGTTATCAAATAAATCATCTTAGTCAGTAAAGAAATATGATCCATTCATTCAACATAAGTTAATCTAAGACCTTGGTGATTTTGGAGATCAATGTAAACATTCTAAGCATTGCATGGACTGTCCCAGGTATTGACATGAGGGCTCCTATACAGTTTTCTGTAATTAACCAATGTTTGATAACAGCATTAGATGTGTTTCTGTCATAATGCAGACTTAACATACATATTACCCAGGTTTGTTGCAAAGTCAATTATATAATACATATAACTTTACTTGCAGATCTACTCAGTAGTCTCATGAACAGTTAAAAATTATAATTTTTATTTATTTCATATACATTACAATTCAGATATATTTTTTCCCCATCACCTAGACTATCCTGACTTATGGACATGGTTTTAAAAATGCCCAGGACAAAATGCAGCGGTTTTTTTTTTTTATTTTTAAATTAACGCTAAAAAAGTGGTTTTACAATTAAGTGATTTTGATTTTTTCGAAGAGGTTTTATTGATTTTTAAAACATTCAAGCATCAGCGCTGTTATGCGCAATCTATTATGTTTGACGATACTGCTTGACATTCATGCAATCATAAAATGCACGTGCGATAAAGAGAGTCAATGATGCAGTCAACTTTGCGCATCTTTTGGTACTTACAAAATTCAGCAATAAGTGGAGTGACATGATAGTTTTCCTCACACCAATCGATGGTAGAAGTTGGAGCTCCCCATATCCCCTGTACTGGTGCCATGTTTCCCACATAAACAATAATTCCCCGTTTCTGCGATTTTTGTTTTCGAGATATTTGTCGTCTCCACCGTTTATCCGGGTTCTTTAAATGACTTTAGCTAACTCGTTCATTTACTGTTTCAAGATGACAAAAAAATGATTAAATCATTACTTTAGAACCAAAATTAAGTAAAAATTCCGATAATTTGCTAAAAATATTTGTCCTTGGTTATAGTATGATATATCTTAGTATTTAGTTTATAAGCAAATCAAGAGTAAAACTGGTATGAGCTGTTTAATATCGCAGCTCGAATTTTCTCAACTTTCGAGTTCGAATTTCCGCGGCTGTGGATATGAAAGACATAAATGCCAAAACAGAAGAGAGATCCGTGTCAGAAACAAGCCTGTGACATTCAACATTGCTTTGTTGGTAAGAAGTTGCATAAAGATTCGTCCAGATTTAAAAATTGAGTGTTATATATTTTTTCTACTTGATTATAATGGATTTCCTCAGCTGTGTATATCTCTCTGTAGTGTCCATGTTACACTTATTTCATAGAAGACCACGGAATATTATTAATTTACAAGATGTGAAATATGCAGCTGACGTCATTTCTATCTGTTAAATTGACAGTCAAAGCACTCGAGCTGTAAATGCCAAATAGAATACAAATTCCACACGGACGTCTGAGAAAGCATTGGATTTAAATTCTACTTTAAATTTCATTTTCATCCCGTCTTAGCTATTTTCTTACGCAGAATGACAATGTTTTATCCATTAAGACAAATGATTTTCAATCCGAAATAGATGTACCGATAGTTTGAAATTAATATGTATCCGTAAACAGTTGAGGTCAGAAAAAGGCATCGAACCAGAGCAGGATTCGAACCTGGACCCCTGGCTCTCCAGACATGTGCTCTTAAAACGGAACTATCTGGCCACCGGCGATTGAACCCGTCTAACCGCCAGATTCCTCCCTCCCTAAAGGTCTCGATCTGGTCCCTGAAGACACTTCCTGACTCTTCCATGGCAGGTTTTTCACCTAGCTGCCATTTCCAGCACATCGGCTGCATATATATATATTTCGTAGTATAAAGGTTGAAATTTTTTTTTTTAATTAAAATTATGTTTTCTGGATAAGTCAATAAAACTGCTAAAGAGCATACTTGAGAATTTCAAACTAAAATTTCAACCAAGTGTTTTATTGGACGTCCGTGTACGTCTAATTTTACCTATAAACTATTTCATTAACTGCATATGTCCGTATTCAAATGTTAATAAGAAATGGTTAGGGATGTTTTATATATAAGCAGCATATTTCCAGTCTTTGCCAGTAACTGTTCTTTGGTCTTTCATGCTCTATAATATACGGATACATTAACATGTTTATGGGTATAGATGGAAACATGTGTATTATATATATAGGCTGCATATTTGTGTCATAATGCATAAAGTATTACAATTGTTTGTTGTTAGTTTTTTTGGGGGGTGGGGGGGGTATAAAAACAATTGACTGCTGTAAATTATATGTTACCAAGGTTACAGGTTTACAATCTTTCTCCTGAAAACTACTCACTATATATTTGATTTTTTTGACAGTCAACAAGCTCAGTAGGGAGAAATGTCAGCCCGTTATAGATGCCCTGAAGGCGTGTTGTGCCCAGCCCGGGACAGAAGATTCCTTAGTCTGTGAGGGAATGAGGCCCACGAACAATCCTAAAATAAAATCCAAGGACTTTCCATCAAAATAAAATGATTTTATTCTTGAATATGAATGATTTATTTATTTTGGTTTGTTTACACAAATAAAAAATTTGAAACACTAAGAATTACTTAAGAATGATATTTCAATATAGATTGTTAGTTTAAAAATTTTTATCATTTTTTTTATAATGTAGGTTTTAGATGAAGAAAAAAATCTATCACTTACTAATCAAAATTTAAAAAAAAATCATTATTCATTTGCCAGTTTTAACTCTCGGTCATCATGGTGCTCACAGATTATAAATTAATAACTCGGAAAATATACGAGGGGTGTGGGGGTGGGGTGGGGGGCTGAATCACGCAACCCACCATGCATTTATTTTCGTGATTCCATTTTTTATTCTACACTATTTTCCCACCTAATATAACAACCACTGGATCGTTTTAATGTCAGTATTTTTTTTAATTCTATGATATCTCTGTTTGTAATATCTTCACCTCTTACATTTAATAAGAAAAAAAGAGAGAAGAAATGGCCGAGAAAAGACCGCTTTATATGAAATAAAAATTCGGTCCTCTGCTAGCTGTAGTAGAAAAGTTTACATTCGGGATTCATAATCTGTAGATGAATGTGTGTTACTGAAATTCCCCATGAAAGAAAGTTTGTTCATTTACTTCTATTCATTATTCATACAAAGGTACATGTACATTCAGCATTCATTAATATTATACAGATTCTTCCATGTGACCGCCGTCATGAGAAAAGGACTCTATTAAATCTTGGAACAACAGAATAAACTAAAAGCTCAGAAAGTATATTTTCGGATTCCTATTTTCATTTAACTGCATTTTATGTAGGAAAATCACTTTCCAGTTAATAATTTATACTTTTGATACAATTTTATCTTGACTAATATCTATCACCATGGGACTTTGTAAACATTATCATAAACGTAGCATGATTGGCAGTGTCGATATTGCAAAATTTCAGCAAGACAGTTACAAAATGTATTAGTCACGGAAATCGACATTTAATTACGTTGCTCACTATTAAAATAGGTTAACCATTTATTAACATTTTTAATCTCTCTAACTAGAATCGAGTTCTATATTCAGGGCCGTCGACTAAATCGATATCTTTTGGCCCATGTATGTGTAAATTATTGTTTTCGATGTCTTCGATTGTGATTCAGAACTTGGAGAATATATAAATATATTTAATGTGTTTGTCATGTTAAAACACTTACAAGTCAAAAACATTATAATTCCATATCAATGTGAAATAACAAATGAAAATAAAACACATTTTCAAATAAATTACATTGTATCTATACAGAACATCTTCTATGTGGAGTTAAATTTCTTTGATTGATTAATTGATTTATTATAGCTCAACAATATTTCAGTCATATTTTGGTGAGAAAAAAATATGAATAATGAAACCAGATTTATCAAATGATTTTTGTCTTTAGTTTTAACAAAATCTTAAATGGCCACATAATACAGCGCCATCACCCGTCATGTCAACCTACAGCAGCTCATATTACATTAAATCACATATTACATTAACACATGAAATCACATTATACAGTATATCAATCTAAATGATCACAATATAATATAATTTATTATATGATTGAATAGTTTTCATCTCTCTGATTGGCTGAGATATATATATATATAAATATATATATATATATATATATATATATATATATATATATATATATATATATATATATATATATATATATATATATAAAATATATATATATATATATATATATATATATATATATATATATATATATAAAGCTATTATAAACTATATATATTTTTTTCATGTGAAGATAAGTTAAGCGAATATATATTTTCGGGTGAGGGTGATAAAAGGGGATGCATGGACACTCCTCCAACACTTTTACTGAAAAACAATTTTTACTTTTTGGCAGTCAGTTTTCCCTGATAATACTCCTTCCTTTAAAACTCTATACTAGAAAAAAGACTGGCATAATTTTTTTTCATGGCAACTAAAATTGATTAAAAAAAAACTTAACAAAAAAATAAATACGACCTGTAAGGTTTATTAACATTTTAATTCTGCTTCTCTCTTAATTGTATTTGGATAGGACTTAATCAAATGCAAACAAGTAATGGGTTTTATCATTTTATTAGTGAATCATATAATAAAACAATTATTGCTGTTTTTTTCGGTCAATACACACCTCAAAACACAGCAATAATTGTGTATTGTTATACCCTTCTAAATATCATTCTATATATTTATTACTTATAAAAAGTCCAACAAAAGAACTGTTTATTACATCGGTCTAACAATTTCACTATTGACCGGTCTTACATAAGAATTGTTAGACCGCAACGTCACTCGTCTGTTACGTCACAAGTAATTAATCATCGTTCAATATCGGCGACGCGAAAATAGCCGAGGTTAAGAGCTACAAGAGTCGTTGCTAACAGCAAGGTAAGGAAGAAGGGAAGAGTATGTTTTGTGATAAATAATTTTTGTGATACAATTAATATATAATTGATTTTGTTCTTTCTCAGCTTAATGTTTTATATTTACTGAAGAAGCCATAATTTTCCATATAAATATGATGATATAGCGTGTATTGATTTAATTGATCAATCTTAATTGAGCAGTGAAGGGTATAACAAAACAGTTATAGACTGGGATTCGGGCAACATATGATTTGTTGGACCTGAAGGTGAAAATGTTGCCTTTGGCCTGCGGCCTCAGGCAACATTTTCACCTTTAGGTCCAACAAATCATATGTTGCCCTCATACCCAGTCAATAACTGTATAATATTCGGTACAACGTACACCAACTATATAATTGCATATCCACTGCTCTCTCCCACTATGAACATGTAGACATCAACTGCGTTCAAAGCACTATAGACGCAACTGCTTCTGCTATGGCACTATAGACGCAACTGCTTCTGCTATGAGTGCAATTGCTCTATCACACACGTGTAGAACAAGCTCTACTACACTTACATATCGTGTTGAGAAGTATATATATGAAATGTTTCGAAAGAGGAATAAAAATAAGTTTGTAATAATATTCGTTGGAAAAAAAAAGAAATTCAGAATATTTAAAATTGCTGACTTATATCCTTAAAAATTCAATTTTGGTCAATGTATTTAATTGTATAATAAAACTTTTAAAAAATTGTAAAAAACTGCATATTTTTATTTTTTCGTTTCATGCATATTTGTACAAAGAACGATAACTCTTCACACTTGGGTACTAACATTCAGAAAGAAAAAAATTACTAACTATAAATTATCTATTTCAGCTATCAAAAATAAATAGAAAAACTAAAAAAAAAAATCATAGAAAAGCATTCTGGAGTAATAATCATTATAAAAGCATTCTCATTTTTCATCATAGTGTTAAATTATTGATTTTTGTCAGAGGGTTTCAACAACGTTGATCGATGACGTCACAGCTGCATCAAAACAAAAATTAAGAGAATGCGCTGCTTGTATCCAGATAACTGTGTTTGAGAGGGAAATACTTTATAAATTATTTGTGATTTATTAGATAAAAGGAGCATTGATCAGGTGTACTGAATTTAAAGTAGTATGTTTTTCTTTACCGAAGCCGCGTCCTTATGTAAGTCAGGATTTCCTCTGATATTCTTGAAAAAAAAATCAAAGAATGCAAATATAAGTAATAAACAACGATTATTCAGTGAACATGGCATTATGAACAGCAATAGCTCTGCTGGCATATTTTCCATGATGCGCTAGCGCGCATCATGGAATAGATCTATGCCAGCAGAGCAATTGCTATTCATAACGCCATGTTCACTGAATAACGTTGTTCATTTCTTAAATATACTCATCATGATGATCAGATAATACAGTATCCTGGCGTATTGTATTTTCGACCTATTTATATGTTCTTTATTAATTTATCGCAAACATTATAGAATCTAAAAAAACATGGGCTTAAAATGTTAGCATATGTGTCGATAAATAAAATGATATAACCCAAATTGCAGTTTTGTGTTTATTTTACTTATATGCCATAATATGGATAAGGTACAATTTTCCTTACAAAAATATTAGCGTCTTGTGTTTTCGACCTAAATATAGTATCAACGCCAAATCAGTATTGGCTATAAATATCCATTGGATATTCCAAAAAATAAAAATACGATTGTCTGTCTCTCAAAAAAAAAATTGAACAAGTTGCATATTTTGGTTGCAAATAAATTTATTCGTTGGTTGAACCTATCTGTTAGTTGCTGTGCATTTCCTGGGGGGGGGGGGGGGGGGGGGGGGGGGGGGGGGGGAGAGAGAGAGAGAGAGAGAGAGAGAGAGAGAGAGAGAGAGAGAGAGAGAGAGAGAGAGAGAGAGAGAGAGAGAGAGAGAGAAAATAAATCAATAAAATTACGTTGCATTTTTCAGTAAAATTCTGTAAGAAAGTGCTGATATTTAAGGAAGAATAAAAATTGTTTGATCCATCCATTTATTTCAATATTCATGCGTCTCTTTGACAGAGATCTTAATTTTCTTTCGGAAAAATGTCATCAAAAAATCTTAGTAATGAACCGATTACGGCTTTGATTAATCAACAGATAAAATGTGCATTAGGAAAAAGACTAGAATTTCTGACATCGGTCTAAAATCATCGTGGGAATTCCATTTAATTAATTATTTTGGGTATTTTCTCTACAGTTGTGCTTCAAGACATTTTTCCAAGTGTAGCAACCGAAAATAATGTTCTACCGCGTAGAATCTGCACGGGAAGCCGATTGGGAAAAATAGGTCGAAAATACAATACGGTCGAAAACAGGATACGAGACGATACAACAAATGTGCATTATAATGTCTAAATTATATAGTGTAACTCAGCCCTGTGAAACATGAAAGCCGTCGGGACAGCGTCTGACACATCTGTTTCATACTAGGATATTTTAATTTTACGAGAAAAAGAGGTAAATTATAACTTATAAAGAACACAACTACATGAATATGATAAACGTAATGACTATAACTCTTCTATTGTCAGTTTCACCTGTAGATCTATATGCGATTAACGACCCATTTTTGAAGCGAGTCAAACTTTTGACTAACAAGGTGATGAAAGAAAGATACCAGCAATGTCTTTTGAAGTCATCATTTCGCGAATTCTATGGTCGATAAAATGACCAAATCAAAATCAGCCAATTCAACCCAACCATTAAAGTGACTGTACGGTGCATCTCATCAAAAAACAGACTTGTAAAAATTTTGCGATATGATTTGGAAAGTTTTTTACTACTCTAAATGTACATGTATACACTTTTAGAAAATTACAAGTTTCATAAGTAAATAATGCTGATTATTTCGTTAAAGTTGATAATTATTTATGGCCCATAAATACTAGTATTGTAAACCTATAGGGTTTGAGACAATTATTTTAATCAAGAAAATAAAAATAAGCTTATTAAAATGTACTCATGATAGAGTGCACTGACCTATAATCCTTTCCGTAAAAGTAAACAAACCCGTTAATCGGATTAAGGACACTGTAATCAACCAGGATGTTTATCTATCTTCGGACATCAATACAGGAAGAGTGACGGAACATTGCAAACTTACTTTAACATTATATTAACTTTTGCACAATACCAGGACACTGAACTGAAGCTTATGTATTTTATCAAGTTCTAGGATTTTGACCAAATTTATTGTATAACTTGTTTGCTTGAATCTGATTTGTTTGTTTCATATGTAAATGAGGATCATGTATTGTACATCATAAAATGACAGTCTAACTATACGATCATTGTTTGTATTCTCTAATAATTTCACCACTGTTAAATAAACTCTTAGAAAAGACTGTTTCCTTGTCATTGGTTTACAATATCTACATCGCAACGTGTTGGATGGAAGCCCTGTAGGTCTACTACATTGACAAAGTCGACCAAAAAAGAAAAAAAAATGAAAATAGGGCTTGAAAAGCAACTTTCCTAATAAGAAAAAATTAGTTGGGAGATAATCATTGGATGAAGACACGGGGCCTCGGCGACACTCACATGGGGCTCGCGAAGGTTCTACTCTACAGGTTTACTGATAAAAGCTAGGTCATTTCTCGTATCTCCGTGGCTTTCAAAGAAAAAAAAAATCAATGTAAACTCACCATAAAAATGCACCTATGACATTTAAAAATTATTACCATTTGAAGTGCAAATTGTAATGGCACTGCAGAAAAATATTTTGTTTGACATTTTGCCGCGATAACGTACGATTTGTTGGATTTTCCTTTCCTGGACCCCAATACACAAAACGTCAACATTTGTACTTAATTCTGTTAAATTCGTCTGAATGCAGACTAAAATGTTAACGATTATTAATTTATCGAAGAGTTATAATATTTTGCTTTTGAGAATTGCTTTTACCTCATATTCCGTTTTAATAAAGGTTTTAACATACATCTGATACACTTGATCCATTCTAAAAGTGTCAATGTCTTCTTTTTTTAATGTCTGTCCCATCGCCAGGCATCATCTTCCATACAATTCATAATATTTATGAAATTATGACGCCAGTTGAAAGAACGAAGTTACCTTAATTTTGGCCTTTTGATGGAAAAAAGTGATTTGAGGTCCCCATTTTACATTTAAGGCACCAGTAATAAAATGGCCAACAGGGCCTCAGTAGTAGAGGGAATTCGAAGAAGAACATGAATATAGGGGCCTAATGGAAGATGTCTCAGATGTTCTATATATAGGCTCTGTAAAGTTTTCTTGTAATAAAGACTTTGAAAAGCCATTTTCAAAAGTTATATACAAGTAAAAACACAAATAAATAAAGACATTTTCATAGTTTATTAAAAAATCTTAAACTAATATTGCTCAATACCATAATTCTGGAATAGAGTAATAGTTGAATTTAACACCAATTTATTATTATGTTATCTTTTAATAATGAAAGATTATCACAGCTAAAAAATAGGTTGTGTCCTTTTTTTAATTTCCACGTAAACCCAATTTATTAGCAGAGTATAATGAACATAACTCCATTTCAGGTGAATTTGCTTCATAAGATAAAAAATTCAAATATATTTCCATTTTTCTTATAATGAGAGTAAAACTTTTTTGGAATCATGCAATCCTTTAATATCCAAACATAATATATAGAAAATGTTAATTTACCTGGAATAATCCATGATGGTATTGAGTCTGTGAGCTATGGTAAGAATGGTGCAGTCTGAGAATTCCTGTCGTATGGTTTTCTGTATAAGGTTATCAGTGTCAAGGTCAACTGCTGCTGTGGCTTCATCTAAGACTAGCACCTTGGTTTTCCTTAACAATGCGCGGGCAAGACAAACCAATTGTCTTTGTCCAACACTGCAAATAAATTACAAATTGCAATTAATGAATTAATAAATAACTAAATATGTACATTTTAGGACGTATTTTAAATGATTACTTGTTCATACATTGTCAAATGCAATGAATTTTTCTGGTAAATCTTTACCTTAGATTTTCACCTCCCTCAGAACATTCATGTTGAAGACCATCGTCTAGGGATTCCACATACTTTTTAAGATGGGCATGCTCCAGAGCTACCCATATCTCTTCATCAGTATAAGACTCAAACGGATCCAGATTCATCCGTATTGTACCAGAAAATAAAATGGGATCCTAAAAACAGCAAGTGAATAGTTTAAGCAAATTGTGGAAACATACATTTAAAGATATCACAATTACTGTGACTAGACTTAATTATTCTAATTTACATGAAACCCCTTTAAATACTCACTTGAGGAATAATTGTGAGTTTTGAACGAAGATCATGAAGACCAATGGTGGATATGTCAACATCATCAATAGTTATGCTGCCTTGAGCCTTTTCAATGATTCGGAATAATCCAAGAGTCAATGAAGATTTTCCTGCGCCTGTTCTTCCAACGATTCCAATCTATAAAAAATAAATATAATTCATGTAATGAATAGTATATCACTCTTCATGAAAAAAATGAAAGTTGGACGATGTAAAGGAAAATTAAAAATTGGAAGTCAAAACAATATGTACTTACTTTCTCTCCTGGCATTATTTCACAGTCTATTCCTTTCAAAACCAAGTCCAAACCCTCACGGTATCTCAAGCCGAAATTTGTAAATTTGACATTGCCTTTTTGTGGCCATTCAGGGGCAGGTTTTGTTTCTTCAATCCGCCAATCCGCTTCAGGTTTTGTGTCTATGTATTCCTGGATCCTTTCAACGGACACAATTCTAGTATCCATTTCAGTAAAAATATGAACAATCCAGTGGAGTATTCCGGTAATCTGAAGAAGGAATATTTCAAGAATAATTGTATACTTAAAAATCATAGTGAATTTATTTAGTCAAAAAAATCTTCAATAGCAAGAAAATGATATTAGGTGAAAAACTACTCACATGTCCTGCATATGTCATAACAAGAGCTATCATCCCACTCGATAACACATCCCTTCTATAAACAGCCATGACACAAGCAATGAAAACCAAAAGATTTCCTATAAACTGCAAACGAATTCCTAGCCATCTGCAAAGAAGACAGTAATTTATTGTAACACACATTATGAGAAGAAAAAAGGTTATCATCTTCGAATCAAATTTAGAATGTGTTTTTACCTGTAACACATTGTGTTTGTTACTTCAGCTTTATTGTATGCATCTAGCCGGCGATCAGACTCATTTGTGAACAGCTGAGTTTTGTTGAAAGCACGAAGTGTTGTGACACCATTGATGGACTCGCTGAAGTGAGAGTACTGAGGTGATCTAAGGGCACTGCAGATCCTCCTTGTCTGTGTTGCAGTGGCACTGAAAAGTCTCTGAAATAAGATAAGGCAATGTGTTTACATGTCTGAAGATGGAAAACTGTTTTCCCTTCCCATCAAAATATTAAAGTTTTTCTTCCATTCAAATACTAGTATAAAGTAAATTACCTGTATGAAGAAATAAACGAAGCACAGTGGAATCACAAAGTACATTATTTTGGGGGTACCCAACGTAATGATTGCAAAAGTGGACAGCAGATGAGGGACACTCTCTAAGAAAGATTTCGTAACCCATGGAAGAGACCAATCTAAAGTTTCCATGTCCTTAGAGAAACGGTTGATGATCCTGCCAATCGGTGTTGTATCGAAGAAGCTTAATGGCGCTCTCATAACACTGGACAGGGCATTCTGGTGAAATTTTCTTGCAGATGTAATAGCGATGTAAGTAATAGAGAGTTGTCCGAGAACATCAAAAATAGCTGCAAAAGAAAATATTGTAAGTGAGTGTACCGCTGAATATTTGCACTGAAAGTAAGACATTGAATGATGAGCAAATCGCCTTGAACTTGATTGGCGAAAGTTAAACATACTTTTAACCATTCCAATTAATCCAAATACGGTAAGTCTGTATCTTTCTCGCGATTGTTGTGTAGTTGAAGACATATTCATTGTGGTACAGTTATCCGTGTTGTCGCTGCTCCATTCGCTCAACCAGTACTGGTTATAATGATCAGTAATGTTCTCTGCTAGACACAAGAAGAACAAAACGAGGAGAAAACATCCAGCGACTCTCAAATAACCGGTGTAAACAGACCATTTCACCTACAAAAGAAAGATTTACATGTATACATATTGCTGCTTAATTTAATTTAACAAAAGCATTTCAATTTGTCACTTTTTTGATATAATACTTATTCAGTTCTTGCTCACCTGTCCAGTTTCTATTGCTTCTTCTTCTATGAATTTGGAATCTTTACATTTGTTTTCTGATTTTGTCTGATCATCTTTGTCAGACTGGTCAAAAGTTGATAACTGTCGCTCTGGTGCCTTAGGCTTTTCTTCACTTTGTTCTCCTTCATCAGAAGTCGATTCTTCTAGTGCATGGTTACGTACAAATTCTGCAAACGCGCCATTCTGTTCCATTAATTCATTGTAGTTTCCAACTTCTGATACTTCTCCATTTACAATATTAATAATTTTGTCCACGTTCGGTAGAAAGCTAATGGCGTGTGTTACAAGGACACGTGTCTGTAAATAAAGAATATTGGCAAAATGAGGTCAGGAATCTTTTGAATATAATTTATTACAATTTACAAAAATTGACAACATATCAACGACGCTCAGTTAGTGATGTTACCTTGTTTCTCAGAAGTCCTCCATTTCCAATGACTTTTTGAAATATATGTCTTCCTACATGTGCATCGACAGCACTAAGAGGGTCATCTAAAAGGTAGATGTCGGCGTCCTGGTAAACTGCACGGGCCAGACTTACTCTTTGCTTTTGACCTCCGCTCAAATTGATACCCTAAGAAATAAAGAATTTAAAAATTGAAGTAATATCATTTACTCATAATTGTTTAGAACTTGTAATTTCACTACATATGACAGTCAGGCATATAATCTTCCTTACTTTTTCTCCTATTTCAGTTTCATCCCCTCCGGGAAGGATGTCTAGATCAGCTCGTAGAGCACATGCATCGATTGCTTTATTATAATTTTTTCCATTCATCTCTTTCCCGAACAGAAGATTTTCTTTCAGAGAATTGTTCTGAATCCATGCTTGTTGTGTAACATAAGCAACAGAACCATTCACACTGACTTCTCCGGAAGTCTTTTCCATTTCTCCGATTGCTGCTGACAACAGCGAAGACTTTCCAGCACCCACAGCTCCAACAACAGCCACCAGTCCTCCCTCAGGTATGTCGATGTTTAGACTGTGGATGACACCACATGGATTAAATTATTATTTTATATTTTTTACATCTTTAACTATAAAAGAGACATAATTAATTTTTCAGTTAATAATTTGCAATGACGAGAATGAAAGTGTCTTACTTTTTCAAATTGGGATTTTTCTGTCGATTCCAGGCAAAGGATGCATTTTTCATTTGTATAGACATTCCGTTATTTCCATCATGTTGAATGGCAGACTCATCAATTTCCTCCTGATTCAGAAACTTCTGAATTCTTTTAAGAGCGACTGATGTCTGTAAAACAAAGGTGTGTTAATTTCAGTTTGTGTTTTTATCGAGCTTTATATGTTTTATGACAAAATTTTTAAAAAACAAAGTGAAAAATAATTTAATGATATAAACCTCAACAAGTGCTGTGATCACATGTGGCATGTGAAGAATTGGTCCACGGAGAATTCCAAGCAAAGATATTGTGTAAAAGATCTTCTTTGTTGTCATGACATTGGTATCGTCCAACCACAAATACACAGCAAAGATGACAAATGTCACCTGAAAAGAAGAAGATAAATCTACAGTTTCATTATCTTCAAGACATAATTTTTTTTTCGTAGTTATGAATTCATTTTATTTTTTTTTTCGTTTCTTATCAAACTCTCAAAAAAATTCAATATAAATGAATTTAATAGTTTACATGATTGTGTCTATGTACTTATCAATAATTACCAGAAAGTCCGATATGCCCCAAATAAAAGATGAAACTGCATCGAAACATCTTCTCTTCATTTTTCCGCGTAGTTCTTGGAATCGAATGGCGTCAATTTTGTTTTCAAAGGAAGGTTCCCATGCATAAAGTTTTAATACCTGTTCAAAGGAGAGGAATACATAAATGAAAGAGGATTACATAAATCAAAGTAATCATTAAAGACTGATATTTGAGAAATAGAATGGAGATAGTGAGAGAGAAAGAGTTTACCTTCATTCCATTAAAGACTTCATTTACAACCTTCATTCTTTTATCTTTGATGTCTGTATCTTCTTTCTACAGACAAATATAAATTGTTTTATTAAATAACAGACTTAAGGCAACACAGTAAATCTGTTAGAAGCAGTTTTCTATGGAGGAACTTACATTGATTTTATGATGTTTCTTTGCTATGAATACATTCAAAGGAATGAAAACGAAAAAGAGGCTAAATCCTAGCACTGCAGCAAACTTCAACTCTTGATAAAGGAAGTAGAGGGCCACGCATGCCTGCAGAGGTCCAATCCACAAGAAGTGCAATTGAAATAAAGCATGTATAACTCTCTGAGCATCATCAGACATCAGGTTTACCATCTCACCCACAGTGCAATCTTTCTTGGCCGTGTTCGAAAGTTTAGTCATCTGTAAATATGATACCAAAATGATTTCTCAAAGTTTCTTATGAGCTTAAAAGATTATATACTGTGAATATTTTAAAGGATGGTTTGTTGAATTAATTTTCTCTTCATTGTAAAATTATATACCTTTCTGTATAGTGCTCCACAAATAGATGTTTTGACTTTGATTCCTATCATATGACAAATATTGTCATCATAATTTCCCATAAGCAGTTGTGTGCAATCAACTATGAATTTTACTGTGGCAAATAAAATTCCATGCCAAAGTAAATCATTTTTGTCCTCAGCAAAGTCAATCATCTGCCTGAAAAAAATATAAGATCGACATTATTTTTAAACACATGAGAAAGTTATTTCTGATAAATCTCATCAATTGATTTTCATAAGTATTTATATGAGATAAATCTCTACTCACTTGAAAAGAAAGGGTCCAACAAACTGCAATAGATGACGTGACATCCGCATCAGGAAATTAAGGACTATCTCAGATGAGTGCATCTTGAAGAGCACCTTAATGAGACTAGCCTGGTGTGTCTTTTCTTCGGGTTTGTTGTTATTAATCTCAGTTTTGACTTCATGGGTTTTCCTGTTAAAACATGACAAAATATTCATATATATTGAAGATTCAATTATTTCAAAATAAAGTGAAATGAAATATACAAGTGATTTCACACTCACTTCTTCAGGGTGTTGATTTCGTCGTGCCATGCTTTCTCGAATACAGGAACAATTGATTCCGATTTCAAGTTTTCTTGGAGGTCTAACATGTCTTCTGCCTTCAATGGTCTCTTGTAAGCTTCTCGCACGACCCTTTACAAAGAAATCCATGCAATTATTTTTCATTAGATAGAAGAATTATTAAGAAACACTGTAAAATTCATGTACTCCTTAAATGAAACAAGAAAATGTAAATATGCTTACCCAGTAAACCAAGAAAATGTAAGGGTAGATAGAGATGTACTGTTCTCAACGCACGGTTTCTGTAAAAGCAAAAATGGGGAAATTGTAGAATTTCTTATTGGTTGTGATACTCGAAGTGGAAAAATCGAATACCAAAGAAATGTTTTATTCTTATCCATTTAGTAAGTACCTTGTATTTTTGGTCATCTTCAGGGAAGTTGTCAACAAATAGTGCTGTCAGAGTCAGCTGAGCTATACAGAGAAGAGTCTGAATTGACAGGAAACAAAACCTCGTGTCCACATTCATATCATCCTGAAATGGCAAATGTGAGTGTTATTTCATATGTTTGCAAGCATTTAAGTCAGGATTGAGAGAAAGCTAAATTTTTATTCCTTAGATAGTTCATCCAGTTATACCTGTTTGAGGAGGGACCTGACTCGGGATTGGAGTGTCAAAGAAAAGCTGACTAACATCAGGAACCAGTAGACTAGCAGAAATCCAGAGGATCTTATTTTTTGTTGGCGTTCTGTCCACATGACGTGATTGGCCAGGATCTAAATATAGTAAATCAGAGTCAAATCAAGTATCTTTCCATGCAGATCGTAACAATGTAATGAAGTACATATATTTCCCAAGTACATTTTGTATTATATAAGGATTTAAAATATATGAGAAAATTTAAATTACCAGTGCTATCCCAGTTAGTATGGATGATATAAATTCCGGTTGTCGCAGGGCATCATCAAGAGAATTCACAAATACTGTTTCCAAGCATTCCAAGAGCGAGAGCAAGATGAGTCCAGCACACAAAATCTAAAATCAAATATCAGGCAATCAATATCACTTAAACAATGTCATTGATTTTTTATTCATTCAAAAGAATCTTTATGTATTAATTGACTTTTTAAAAAGATATGTCTTTATGGATATAAACAAAGACCTTTGCATAACTAAAGGTTCTTACATATTTGGCAAGACTTAGCGTAGAGTGTTGTTGTTTTGATCGTTCGTTTGGCAGTAAGTAGAGTCGGAGTGGTGAAAATATCAGGATAAAAATACATGGTATCCAGGGTAAGACTGTTTTCTGGAAGCAGGGAGTGAGATCGGGAGAAGCCGTGTTCCACGTCAGGTTGAAGTCCTGAAAGCAAATACGGCGATTCTTTTAAATAAGAAAAATTAATATTCAAAAGAAAAAAGTAAACATGAGAATTATTTAATGGTTTAACATCGGAATTTTTTAACCATAGCAGAAATTAGCACACATAGCAGAAATTTTAGTAAAAAACAATTCTTTTTTAAAATTCTTATAAGATTTATAAAATATATGTGCTGTTTTGAATTTAAATTAATTTAAACTGCTAGTGTTTTAAAATTTATTATAAAGAAGTGTATTACCGTATATTGAAAATGTGCATGCAAATGCTTTATATGATATTACATTATAATGTAATATATCAGAAACCATTCGATAAATAAAAAAATAATTTTAATAATTTCATATATGTGTATTAATTTTATATATTTTTTAAATATGTATAACATACCCAGAGAGAATCTCCAGAACAGTAAGATTCGATCTTGTCGATTATAGTGTCTTTCATCGCGTCCATGCTGAGGGTAAATTGTGTCAACTCTGACCAGAGCATGTGGCTTTTAAATGGTTCTTGGGGTTATTTTTAACTGGATTGCAATAAGGAAAAAACCCTAGTGACTCATACATGTAGATCACCAGCATAGCCAGAACTCTTCGAGGGGTTAAGTATTTAAAAGCTTTGAAGAAAAAAATCAATAGAAATTTAAATATCGATTATTGTGTATACAGAATTGACGACAGTCATGGTTAAATTTCCAAACTACTCATTCTCTGTATGAGGCTAGTTACATAGCAGAATATACTGTTATTATATGTTGATATGGCACATGGTGATTAATGAATGAAATGGAAAATCGGTTTTAAATATATATACATGGAACAATGTAAAAGACCTTGAATATCACGTGTAGCATGCAAGGGGTGCACTGTCCCCTTCCCCAGGTCATTCCTTTTCTTTTTGACTAGATATATTTCTATCAACTACAAGTATTTCATTTTAGATTGATTTCACTTCTGATGCGAAATAGGCCAATTTATTCTTCTAATCTGATAATAATTACCCCCAAAAAAAAAATAAATTGTGATTTATTTTTAATATATGACATACATTTTGCACTTGTAAGTGGACGAGCAGTAGATTAGAGCACATTTAAGATATTAATAAAACCATTCTTACTTAAATCAACTAAGTGTACATTTCAAACAAACTAAAATTGTCAATCTATAATGTATCTCTATAAGATACAAGATGTTTTATTACCAATCAAGGGCCTCGAAAGGCATTTCAACATAAATAAATGCACAATTTAAACGCTTTTTTACAATATATTTTTTAAGATATGTAAAATTAAATAAAAAACCAATTAATAATACATTATAACGTTATTTTTTTTTAATTTTTGTCTGAAAAAAAATGCTTTGCAAAATTTGTTGTAAATATCTGCGCAATAAATAAACAAATATTGATTTTTCAATGTATTTTACATTTTTGAAGTTAAAAATATTATTATAATTAGATATGCATTGACTTTTTAAAGGAAAATCTGAAGTTTTGGGAATTCGTATACAAATTTACTCTAGGGTGATGATGGGATAATAGTTTGTTTGATATTTAACTTTGTTGAATGAATGCTTGCGTTAAAGGGAATTACAATTCCATACTGAGTCAGAAGGAAAATCTAAATTCAAGGCAATCTATTCTAATTCGTGACCTTTACCCGTTTAAATGAACTATTCATGTTAAAGAGTACAAATACTGAATGAATTGAATGTTTGGTGTCATTATAATAAATCAAAGTAATGGTACTGGGGTCCAATAAAACAGGTATGAAAATTAAGGGCTGACTATTATACAAGTAATATAATTGAAACATCCAACAAATGAACGCATTGTGATTATAAATGCACCTTTACAAGTAATGTTTCATATTTTCTTTCTTTAGATAGTAGACATATGTTAGACATAGCTATATGTATATCTAAAGTGAAATATTCTATTCACAACTACTTCTTAATTAACAAGAGGCCCAGGGGCCACAGCGCTCACCTGAGCACATAGGGCTTGAATATACCCCCCCCCCTCCAGGCGTTCATCATTTGAACAAATTAGAATCTACACTACCTGAGGATGATTCCATATAAATATCACTAATCATAGCTTTGAAGTACTTGAAAAGAAGATTTTAAAAGGTTTCCCTATATATCCCTATGTAAAACTTGGGTGGGGCCATTTTGGCCCCACCCTAGCCCCGGGGGTCATGATTTGAATAAATTTGAATCTACACTACCTGAGGATTATTCCACATGAGTTTCGTCTTTCCTGGCCCAGTGGTTCTGAAGAAAAAGATTTTTAAAGATTTTTCTTATATATTCCTATGTAAAACTTGGGTCGGCCATTTTGGCCCCACCCTTGCCCAGGGGGTCATGATTTGAACAAACTTGAATCTACACTACCTGAGGATGCTTCCACATGAGTTTCATCTTTCCTGGCCCAGTGGTTCTGGAGAAGAAGATTTTTAAAGATTTTTCCTATATATTCCTATGTAAAACTTGGGTCGGCCATTTTGGCCCCACCCTTGGCCCGGGGGTCATGATTTGAACAAACTTGAATCTACACTACCTGAGGATGATTCCACATGAGTTTCATCTTTCCTGGCCCAGTGGTTCTGGAGAAGAAGATTTTTAAAGATTTTTCCTATATATTCCTATGTAAAACTTGGGTCGGCCATTTTGGCCCCACCCTTGCCCCGGGGGTCATGATTTGAACAAATTTGAATCTACACTACCTGAGGATGATTCCACATGAGTTTCATCTTTCTTAGCCCAGTGGTTCTGGAGAAGAAGATTTTTAAAGATTTTTCCTATATATTCCTATGTAAAACTTGGGTCGGCCATTTTGGCCCCACCCTTGCCCCGGGGGTCATGATTTGAACAAACTTGAATCTACACTACCTGAGGATGATTCCACATGAGTTTCATCTTTCCTGGCCCAGTGGTTCTGGAGAAGAAGATTTTTAAAGATTTTTCCTATATATTCCTATGTAAAACTTGGGTCGGCCATTTTGGCCCCACCCTTGGCCCGGGGGTCATGATTTGAACAAACTTGAATCTACACTACCTGAGGATGATTCCACATGAGTTTCATCTTTCCTGGCCCAGCGGTTCTGGAGAAGAAGATTTTTTAAAAATGCCATTAATTTTTAACAAATTCATGATTATCTCCCCTTGGAAAAGGGCGTGGCCCTTCATTTGAACAAACTTGAATTCCCTTCACCCAAGGATACTTTGTGGCAAGTTTGGTTGAAATTGGCCCAGCGGTTCTTGAGAAAAAGTCGAAAATGTGAAAAGTTTACAGACAGACGGACAGACAGACAGACAGACAGACAGACAGACGGACAAAATGTGATCAGAAAAGCTCACTTGAGTCTTCGGCTCAGGTGAGCTAAAAAAAACATAAAATTAATGTGTACATTCTATGGATAATTTTTTTTTTTTCGTAATGTACGAAGTTAATATCAATAAAATTATACAAATGCATTAGAAAATTTTCACGTAGTTATCACTTTTTTAAAAAAAAAATCAAAAACAAATAAGATAAAATGCATGAGTTATACGAGTTTTTTTTCAAATAAAAACGTACTATTCTCCCTGAAACCTCTTGTTAATCAAGTGACACATAATTGTAAGTAAAAACGATGTCTACAATTCTACTTACAATATATTACATTTCTTGTCAGGGATGTCCAGTACTGTTTTTTTTTATTTGGCATTTCCTGTTTACTAGATGCTCGTACTTTTTATTTTTGCTATGTTCATACTCAGTAAATCAGCTGTACAGTATGTCATGTAATTTTTATTAATTATCAATAAGGGAAAAAAAATATGCCAATTAAACATGTCTAAGCTCGATAGGCATTGCGATTGTCAGTTGCCAAATTACAAGAATTCCTTCAGTCTAATATATGATTTCGGATTCGTATAATTTCTGTTTGATGTGGACAGATTGTCATCTTTGAGGGTTTTTTTTCATAGCTCTCCTCTTATATACTGAAACGCAAAAGAAATGCAACATCCTACTTTAGGGGGAAATAATTATGTAAAGTAAAGAATTTTGTATTTTAAAATTATGGATATTTTCAATTTTTTAAATATCGGTAATTTAACGGTTGAACGATTTTCATACCATAACCGGTGGTCAAGTTTGAGTCTGCTTAACAGAAATCAAAAATTGCATGTTGAAAAAACATTTGGCAATATTATGGAGTTTTAAGGGTTTGGACTGTTCATCTTAAGTAATGCAGCAATATTTCAATGCAGCAAAATTAAATCTCCTTTCGTTCCCGTAACGATGCTAAGGTCTCTTGAAAATGGCTTAAGTACGCAATTAAATCTCAAAGTAAAGGTGATGGAGAGTTGATGATGCAAAAATACACTACTTTAGGCCTCAACCGGGTCTTGCATAGCACATGCATAAAAGATAGCCTTTGGACCGGAAGTCCAAGGGTTACTACAATGCGCTAAGTTAGAGAAAATTCGACCTAATCATCTGAAAAACAGGCATTTAAAAATGGCAAAGAATAATTCTTTCGCTCAGATCTCGATATTGATTAACCTATTGTATCGTAGAAATTAAGCTGCAATTGTTGTTTAGGACAGTCTTGCACATTGTAATTGAATGGCTGGGAGGGGGTTGTTTTAACAGTCATATGTTACTTAGTAAAGTTAAAAGAGTTCAAGTTCAAGTTCATTTATTCACTCAAAACCATTTAAAATACATGGTACATGAGGACAAGGAAAAATATTTACAGCATATATACATTCAGGTCAGAGGTATAAGTGCATGATATACATAATAAGACAATGAAATGGGAGAAAAAGAAAAAAAGAAAATGGAGAGAAAAAATAAAAAAAATGGAAAAAGGGAGGAAAAAACACGTGATAATTGAGATAAGTGAGGAAAAAAAATTATGGAGGACAGACTAAATCATATATTTTTAATACAGTGTATAAACATACAGAGTTTTTTAAGTGACATAGCATCTTGTTTTGTCATCAGTTGAGAAAATTTAAGAATATTTGGTCTAATAAAGTAGTATTCATCAATATACTTTTTCCTGATGTTTGACAGTGCAGTACATTCAAGTATAAAATGGAATTCATCAGCAACATGTTTAGCATTACAAAGTGTACATAATCTTTCACTTAATGGTATAGATGCCCATCTTCCCAGCTCAACTGGTAGATGGTGATTAGTAATACGAAATTTGACAAGTATTTTTCTAAATTTTAATGGCAAAATACTTAAATACTTTTCACACTCAAAATTTGTTTTAAAAATTTTATACAAAGTACCTTTAGAAGAACTGTTAATATCAGAATGCCATTTTTGAATAAATTGATCTTGTAATCTTTGTTTAACAACAGAAGTAACCCAGTCTTGATTAGGATTATAATAAAACCATATAATTCGGGGTACTACTTTTCAGGTACAGAATATGTTTCAAAAATTTTAAATGAACACGTTCAATAATATCTAAGTTTTCAAAACCCCAAATTTCACAACCATAAAGTAACACTGGTAAAACCATTTTATCGAACAAATCAAGTTGACATTCTACAGGGAGGTTAAATTGTCTTATTTTTCT